AGCAAAACGATAAACACAACACAAGGAATTAAGTAATCCAACCCACACTCACCTTAAATCTCTAGAAAAAAAAAAATAAAAAAATAGAAAGCCAAAACATTCACAAAATAAACATTAATTAGAAACACTAGAGAAATACTAAATAATCACTAAAAAATAAATTTTAATACCCAACAGTGTTTCCCACTTCTAGGAGTCTTAATATTAACCGAAAATTAATTAATTAATATTTTTTCCTATTTTTATAAATTAAAAAAATATCTTTCAACAATTTTTACAAATCAACACAACCACACATAAATATATATATTTTTTTCATACAAAAATAAATTAAATTAATAAGACAATAAAAAGAAAAACATATATATATAAAAAAAATCAAGATTCCTTATCATAAATATTAAATTTTGGGAAATAAAATAAATTCTTATAATTTTAGATATTTCCTTTAGCAGGGACAGAAAATGTCTTTTTTTGGAGTAGTTTTAGGTTATCGTTAAATCCGATTGGGTAGTTCGTAAAAATTATAGACTATTATTATGATTTATTATGTGTGAATTATTGTCCGTCGGACGGCAGCTCATGTGAGTCTGCTCCAAAACTACCTCACCTTCAGCTCTTTTGCTTGCTTCGTTGCTACCAGTACCGCTTTCTATTGTGGGAATCCCCTGGGATGTGTGTTGCTTCCAGCAACTTGTCATTAGCTCACTTGTGTCCCAACACCGCCTAGTTTGCGGCAAACTTTCCTAGCAGCTTGCAAAAGCAGCCAACACCGCAGTAGCAGCAGCAGCAGTAGCAATAACTACAGCTTGTCTAGTCTCCAAATCCCTGATTGGAGGATCTCCGAACTCAATGACCTCACATTGCAAAATTGGAAACTGATGGTTATAAGCGCTGTTGTAATTTCAAATCGAATCCAGGTAAGATAAGGGGGTATCGTTTTTAGGACGTACCGTATTGTTTTCCAAGCCAAATCCAAAAAACATCTGCAGTGAATGCTCCATATAAACTTACTTTACGATATTTTAGATCCCTGGCTCATATGGGAAATTATGCAACAATTAAACAAATCGTGCGATCCTTAGAGGACAATAATCCAAAATAAAGAACATAAACCAATATAAATCAGATAAGTGCGACTAAATAATCATATTCGCAACACAAGACCCATTCTAACCTGTCGTTCTAACCCTTGCTCGTCCTTCCCGGTCCACGCTATTCGTAATAATAGAATATATGATTTTGAGTAATCAATAAACATTATGTATGTATATATATATATATATATTTGAATTTACTTATATTTGAATGTACTGTATATATATATTCTTTTACAATGCCGGATGATCATTTGTCATTTGATGACAAATGAAAAAATATCGGATCCTTAAAACAAAAATGCATTTTATTCGGAAACTTTGCCCGGTTGTATTCAATAAACTTCCGCTTCCCACAGGATTGGGCATGACCAATCATTTGAAATGAGTCGGTCTAGAGGCCCAAGCTCGACGAAAGCATATATTTGATGAAAAACATGAGAGAGACTTCCGCTGGACACAGAGAAACTTGCGTCTCTTCTAGGCATTGTGGGAACAGAATTGACATTCATCTTCTCGGCTGTTTGGCAGCACCAGAAGATCAAACAGTAAATCACAAAATGAGTGCCTGGCAGGGAGTCGGCCCTAGACATGATCAGATGATTCTGTTGTTTTGCAGTGTTGCCAGCATCCATCACATAATGTCAATACAGGCTTTCATCATCTTTCAGAATATGTAAATGACATGTTGCAGAGTATGTACAGATGGAGTTTTGGTTCTTAACCCTTCTGGTGGATGCTGCCCGACCCAAGCTAACCCTTGTGGAAAGGGGTCACCCATGAGAACCCAAACTATTGGGAGTTGACATGAATTTGCCGAACATTTGCCAACAACAATGCGAAGCTGACATGTTTTGACCAGCAAAGAAACATGCTGAACCATTTGGCGGCTAGATACACAACACTGAACTATTGTAGATCTATTTGGATCCCATCATTCCGACGTATAAAAGAGCTACCTATTAAACATGATCATAACAACTCGATTTATATTGTCTATACCAACAGTAATGATATACCTGATCAAATCCCACATGACTAAAATGGACATATCTCCATTGGTCGGAAAATCGGGTACTACTAAATCCTGCTTTATCAGAATTTCGCCATTAGCTACCCTCTGGTAATTTAACATAGCTATTGAAAATGGCCATTTATAGTGGATATACCCATTAAAAATGGTGATTTTCCATAGTTATGTTAGTTTACCAGAGGGTAAGTTCTGTAACTGGGGGGATACTACATTTTCAGACACATCCATACAGCATACAGTAGGACCGTAGTCTTACAAACCCCTATTTGGTAGGGTTGTTTGTGGACTGGGCTATGGCTGCTGCGGTCATCCAAGCATCATGAATGGGATTCCGAAAGTACTGGGTATAAAAAAACCTACATTCGTGCGAGGACGACCATCCCTTGTGCAAAGGGTCATTAAGGATCCCTCATGTACCATTTGGTAATATAGCTATGGGAAATCACCATGAAAATCAAAAGCACATCGTCGAACTAACTGGGCAATGTCGTTTAGCAAACAAATGAAATAATCCCGGAGTGAACTTGACCCTGGCACCATTGTTCAAACCTGTGAAAAAAAACATTTGATCGTCCCAAAAACGGTTTAAGACAAAAAAATTGAAACCACTGCCTAGCTAAAAAGTTCTCATTCAATCTATATATCTCTATATACATATAATTATATACATATGATGGTAAAATCACAATTAAAGAACCAGGGTTGTGTCCCACGATGCTCAAGGCACCGTGGCGTAGGCGCCAGCACGGCGCTTGCTCATGGGGCGCAAAGGCCGCCTCGGGATGGAAATCCATGGGGAGAATGTCGGGAAACTGGGATATATCGGAATTATTGTTGTTGTTATCCAGTTATGATATATCCCAGTTTCGATAAATACTGTTATTATGTTATATCAACAACAATTATTATATTCGAATGATTGTTGTTGATGATCGTTACTACTACTGTTGCTGTTGTTGTTGTTGTTGCTGTTGTTTTTTTTCCCTCTCTTGTTGTTATTATCATTAGTATCACAGTTCTTAAATGATATGACCATCAGTTAACTAGTATAATAGTGATAATGATAATATCATATGAATTCATTATCGTTGTTGTTGTTGTTGTTATTACTATTGTTATTACTATTATCACTGCTAAAATTATATACTATTTTCACAATTATTGCTGTTTTGGCATCATTGTGATTGGCAATAGTCGTTGTCGAATTGTCCGTGATTTTCATTTTTGATAAATGGGAAAACCTGCAATAGTAAACAATACCGTATATATAGTACCAACCTCACACAACACATAGACCCTGAGAGTCGACAATGGGTGTTGGAAAGTAATCTTCCAACTCCCAACAAAACAGGGTGTATGTTAGTTGGAGCGACAGTAACATCTATTTAAACATCCGGAAAACGATAGCTGAAGAATCAGAACTAACAGTGTCAATGATACGATTGGATGGGGATACATTGTCATCTATCATTATTTGGAAACAGCATCATCACCGGTGGGTTCCCATCTATTGATTGACCGTGATTCCCAACTGGGCTTTCGACATCACCCAGCAATACACCTCCCAACCGAGCCGGCAGGACCACAGATCCTCTTCGGGATCGTAGGACTCTGCAGTGTTTAACACCTGCCATCCCACAGCTGATCAATGCTTCCACACGGCAACTGGTGAACCCAATCAGAAACCCATGATGTTTGCACAGAATTTCGAGAACAAAAACAGACAAAAAACATCACCAAAATGAACGTTGTCACAGAATTTGTCACTTTAGGTCAAACTTTAGGTCTGTAGCTCAAGATAAAACATCTTCAAAATAGCTTTACTAATGTCTTACATCATTGGTCTTGGAATCCCCCGGATGCTGAGGGGTCGTCCCCTAAACGCCGCACCTGGCTACCATCGTTGCCCCCCAGCAACACCAACTGATTCCCCAGCACAGCACCGGCGCTACCGCTGCGGCGCTGTAACATGGGATGCGCCTCCTGGAGGGCGAACTTCCCCCAACTTTGGCACCCAAAAACTACTATTGGAATTTGGGACATAGAACTATTCCTTAGGTTTGCCATGTTGGTTGAAACTTGAACTGTTTCAAGTCCCAATGCCACTGTCATGTCCATGTCCTACGCTGACACCACCAAGCAGAAAAAAACTGCATGTCTGTTTCGCTAGAGGAGATACTCCCACACCTTCACCGCTGAACCCCCAAAAAAATAAGGAGCAGCTTTAGAGTTACGAGGCCCTTTACAGTGTCTACAATACCCCATGTGGCACATTCCAAGTATACGAGGTACATAGGTAGGGCAATCATTTCGGTCATCTCGCATACTTGCTCCGTTCTTTGCTAAGTTATCCTTCTGGTTGATACTGCAAGAGTCGATCTTCAGCTTGATATCGACTATTCCCTCCATAGCAAAAAGATGAGCCATGCCTACCCTCAACCCTGAGGTTCCTGGTTGAAATACTTTTTATTTTTGCCTAGAATCCCCACTGGCGGTTCAAATGCCCATTTGCTGCCAAGATCCATCATCATAATGTGATGGTTGAAATCCCACCAGACTTCTACCCTCCAGCAAATTACCATATGTAGATATGAAACATCGACCCAATTGTAGATTTCACTTAAAAATCACCTTCGCTGTTCCACATCCTTTTGTATGTTTGCTGAAGGGTATACCCAACTTTTTGCTTTAACCACCAGATCTGATGGTCTTTTTGCACAATTTTTCATGGTGACCCCCCAGATTGACTGAAGGTGATACCCCCGGGTCGCCGGGACCCGGTTCGCGTCAGTGAGTCGCAGGGCCTGCCACACGCCCTTGTCAGGATCAAAGACTTCCACTGTGTCGTGGACGCAGTGCTGATCATGGCCTGACAACTGAAGCAACGGGATGGCCTGAGACCCAGAAATTATCAGATTAACTTCACTAGATTGTATTAATTATATTATACTCTGCAGTTACCCTATAGCAGTGATTATACAAGGTTATACATGATTTAGCATCATTTTGGTATTACTATTAACTGCTTGAATGATTAACTAGTAACATAATAATGGTTGTCTGGTGATTGAATAGAAACACTATGATCAAAAACTCCAGGAAGAGACTACAGTATAGTAGTAACAGACGGGTTGTAGACTTAATATGATCAATAACGGAATATTGATCTTGAATATAACCCTTTGGTGATCAAAGGTGGCAAGCTGGAAAATCCTCTAGTGCAGGATTGTCAATAGCGATGTTTGACTCTGAGATTATATATATCATCGGAATAGAAGATGTTCATAACATAGATTGACTTTTTGATTGTAAAATGTTATTAAAACTATTGACTATCTAATACTAACAAACTGTTTATCTAGTATTCCTTTCTAATGTGTTATTCCTGCTTATCTTATGCTAGTTTCATGTGTCTCCTGTTTATCAAGAAGAATACGCAGTAGAATGCAAAGTAAACATATCCTGAGATACAATATGAAACCAAAACGAAAATGTTCTATTTTTGGTCTGTGTGGCAAGAAACATACTTGACGGTATATTGGAAGGCAGTACCATGTACATACATAAGATATAATATATGTAGATGTTAATACACTAATACATGTAAAGGGCATTGCCAACTACTGTAGAATTTCAACATGGCTAAAATTACACCACCGTAGACCCCAAACAGTGGGTGGATTCAAGACGTGTTTTTGAGGAACAGGGTCGAACACATGACATGAGAAAACATTAAGAACCCCTAACCGCACACTGTTTGGGCCAAAATACAAAATGAGACCACCTGCCACTAAGGGAAACAAGAAGGAAAACAAGTTGGGAGACAAGATAGAAGACAAGACCTCTTGAAGGCACACCATCCAACACCAAGGCGGACACCTTAAGAAAACCTTAAGAACCCCTAACAGTACACTGTTTGAAAAAAAATGCAAAATCAGACCACCCGCCACAACGAGAAACAAGAAGAAAGACAAGTTGGGAGACAAACTGGGAGACAAGAAGGAAGACAAGCTGGGAGACAAGCAAGGAGACAAGGGATACAAAACCTCGGGAAGGCGGACACCCCATCCAACACAGGCACACATGTGGGGAGACAATGGGAGACAAGAGGAGACAAGACGTCGGGAAGGCGGACACACCATCCAACACAGGCACGCATGTGGGGAGACAGTGGGAGACAATGGCAGACAAGGGAGAAACCCAAAAAAACAGACATACCATCACAGGCACACATGTGGGGAGACAACGGGAGACAAAAAGGGGCCACAAGACGTCGAGAAGGCGGACGCACCATCCAACACAGGCACGCGTGTGTGGAGACAATTGGAGACAATGGGAGACAATTGGTTCAATGGGAGGAGACAAGACCTGGGAAAGGCGGACACACCATCCAACACGGGCAGACAAGGGGAGACAAGACCTCGGGAAGGCGAACACACCATCCAAAACATGCAGGCACACATGTGGGGAGACAATGGGAGACAAAAAGGGAAGACAAGACGTCGGGAAGGCGGAGGCGGACACACCATCCAACACGGGCAGACAAGGGGAGACAAGACCTCGGGAAGGCGAACACACCATCCAAAACATGCAGGCACACATGTGGGGAGACAATGGGAGACAAAAAGGGAAGACAAGACGTCGGGAAGGCGGACGCACCATCCAACAGAGGCACACATGTGGGGAGACAATGGGAAACAGCGGGTGACAAGGGAGAGAGAAGACATCGAGAAGGCAAACACATCATCCAGGCACACATGTGGGGAGACAACGGGAGATAAGTGGAGACAAGAGACAAGACCAAGGCGGACACCTTAAGAATGCGTTAAGAACCCCTAGAGCAGCACACTGGATTGGAGAACAAGAAGGGAGATAATGTGTAGAGAAGGGAAGACAAGATGCTCGGGAAGGCGGACACACCATCCAACAAAGGGAAACAGGAAGGGGGTACAATGTGAGACAAAGGGAGACAGGACCGTCAGAAAGGCGGACACACCATGCAACAAAAGGAAACAATAAGGGGTACAATGGGAGACAAAGGGAGACAAGACCGTCAGAAAGGCGGACACACCATGCAACAAAAGGAAACAATAAGGGGTACAATGGGAGACAAGGGGAGACAAGACCCTCGGGAAGGCAGACACGCGATCCAACAAAGGGAAACAGACAGGGGAGACAAGACCCTCAGAAAGGCGGACACACCATCCAACAACGGGAAACAAGAAGGGGTACAATGGGAGACAAGCGGAGACAAGACCCTCAAGAAGGCGGACACACCATCCAACAAGGGGAAACAATGGGCGACAAAGGGAGACCAGACCCTTGTGAAGGCGGAGACACACAATCCAACAAAGGGAAACAAAAAGGGAGACAAGGGGAGACAAGGGGGAGACAAGGGGAGACAAGACCCTCGGGAAGGCGGACACACCATCCAACAAAGGGAAGCACGAACGGGTACAAGGGGAGCCAAGGGGAAACAAGACCCTCGGGAAGGCGGAGACACCATCCAACACCAAGGCGGACACCTTAAGAAAGCATTAAGAACCTGTAACACTACACTGTTTGGGGAAATAGTGTATAATATGTCCTAAAATGCATTCTAAAACGGGCTGGACTGAACAGTTTTTTTTTCCTCTTTGCTTCGTGTAACACAAACCCACACATCATATCAAGTTGGTTACATATCCCATTATATATCCCCACTATACCCCATAATCTATGCGATTTTGCCCCAAATTCTTGTCATATAACAAATTGGCGTTGCAAAATTCCAACACACCAGTTATCTCCTCATAAAAAAACAGTAGTTCTTCACATACTCATTTTTGATCTCCATAAGACATACCCCAAATCGGCGCTCAAAGCGCAACACGGCCTCCACAAAGGAATAAGCGGCCAGCCAATGTCAAGGCAGCAGCGCCCGTTCGCAACCTGAAACGCGGAGATTGCACCGCTGACTTCTTCACCGTGATTTTGGGATTTTTAGATGTTTGCTCTCTTTTACTGTTCAATATTTTTCTGGGACTGATACAACCAACATTCATCAATGGGTATCTAAATAAAAACAAACAATGTATACATATATATCTATATGTATATATATATATTGTTGGTTAAGTATAGAGTGTTGTCACCGGATTCAATTCCACAACAATCGCAACCAAAAACAAATAGATCTAAAACAATATTAATGGGTACTGTATATGTTGGTGGTTTCAACTCCAAAAAGCATGCTTGCCAGTTGGGATGAATATTCCATTTGTACAACCAGCCGCACTGTCTGCAATTTGACAAAAGCCTCCAATGAAGGATGGGGACAGCCATGGTGAACCATGGAATTTTTAGGTTCCAGTTGATGCTCCTCTAGCGAGTTATGTATATTGTGCGTTGGATGTGTCAAACGATGGACAAATACTCAAAGAGTGGAACATCTTACTTCGCTATCTTTGGTCAGGAAGTTGATCAGCATGTCTGTTTGGATACACGGAAAAAGGACCACCACCAGCAGCCCGACCGGAACCAAAAAGCGCCTGCTCGTAGGCTGTAGGCTTTCCCAAACCTAGAAAAAAACAGGTTGCTAGCAAGGTGAGCTCTGCCACTTTTCTTGGTTTATAAAGCCCATGACAACATGGCAGACCCCACCATGGGAAATTGCAAATTAAAATGAACTCCATGGTTCAATATTGGTTATGGTTCATGGTTCACTGAATATCTGCATGCCATGATCCATAGTTGTGGTTCATTCGACCTACTATCAAATACACCAAACATATCAAAAAATATGGGACCCCTTTTAGCGAATAGATTCCAGTACACAACCAAAATTTAGTTTCGGGCTGTTTCATATTAGGAAGGAAGTTGCGCCATTCGTGTCGTCAAATTGGGGCTCCAACACATGCCACAGGGTCAAAGCGCTCCGTAGAAAGAAGCACCTGGCAGCGGGGTGCCAGGGGAGCAACAAATCATCTCATCCCGGTTGGCACAAAACGATCACAACATTTCTAGAGGCAACTGATCTCCAGATGAAAAAATTGACGGGTATGTATGCATATCTATGCTGCTGTTTGTTTATTCGGACATGTAGTTTCGTGATTTGGATAGAAGAAGGAATGCTTTGAGATGTAATCTACGTCAGTGGAGGAACGCCCAATTTCTACCCTCCATTTCAATCAAACCAGAAAGGGTGCAGATCCTTTGCCAATACTGTGGATCCTTTGGCTCAGATGTTGGATCAAAAATGGGTCTACCATATCCTACCAAACTGGTTGATGTTTTTGAAACTATCTGAAGAACAGGTGTCAATTGGGATCCTCATTCAAGGTAGGGTTGATTTTCAATCAACAAATTGGTCGGTTGACGAAATATCTCCACCATCAACATAACCGATTTTACCCCCCACGAGTAAAACAATGGTAAATTGATTGATTTTTTTTGGTCTTTCCGGGGTTAAAAGCAATCCTTTGCACTGAAAACTGCCCGCTTTTGCCGAATGTCCGGCGAAACACGCCTGCTGTCCGTTGTTGCCCGAGCAAACCTGGGCAAATCATAGATGGCGTGGAATTTGCTTATGGATGGTTTGGCTCAAAATTTTCCCATCCCCGCAACTACATGAAAACTCTGTCTTTTTATGAAGATATAGTTGGGATGCAATAAGGATATGATGGAAAGTAGTCTTCCAGTGGCCACTATTTGGCAGGGTCTTCGGCGGTTGGGGGGGGGGTAGTAGTGCGTGAACAGCGATCTTGGACTGGGACACTATTGGATGGACTTGAAATGTTGGATCGATGCCAAAATTTCTTGGATCGCTGGGGCTTCCCTTGGCTTTCGATATCATTCATGTGTATGGCAAACTCCAAAAAGATAGAAAATTGGGAAACGTGGAAATATGAAGTAAACACCATCTACAACATCCTGAAAACACTTCCTTATCTTTTGCTGGGGTTGCTAAGGTGCAAACATGTTTTCTACAAAAAGCCTGTCTGATTTTGGGCGTACAGCTTGATATCTCGTACGTGGGTGATCCATGAAGATACGGGATTTTATTGTAGACAAGCAAGCAAGCAAGCAAGCAAGCAGACAGACAGACAGACAGACAAACAAACAAACATACATACACACACACACACACGCATATATGTTTATGTTTATGTTTTATGTATATGTATATGTATATGTATATGCTTATGGATATACATATGCATATGTATATGTAATGTGTATGTGTATGTATGTGTATGTATATGTACGTATTATGTAAATATAAATATATATGCATGTATATAGATATATTACACACTAGCCTCAACGTCCCATCTCCCAACATATCCCCAATGATTTTCACAGCCACCCCATCCGGTCTGATCCAAGGTGCGATCAAAAAGTTCTGCAGCACAGCCGCTGAGGCCCAGAAACGGCCCTCGGACATGGGCGGAAGCTCCTGCGGGGCTCCCTTCCGAAGTGAGATATTTGCAGCTTCTGCAATAGGAAATGAACCAATAAACAATGGGACGCTTGAAATTGCTAACAAGTGAGCTATAGTTCAACCTGTGGGATATTTAAGACCATTGACCAACTAGACGACGGATGGCCCGAGAGCGTAGAGGAGCAGGGTCTTCTCTTGTTAGTATGGAGACACCATATTACAAAACAATATAGTAAAGATGTGTTATAGGCAGACGAGAAGAGGAGTATCAAGACAATATAGCACAAATACAAGACAATAGTTTGCATCGCAAACACTTTTACACACAGAAGGTTTTACACACAGACGCTCTTACACACAACAGCTTTTACACACAGAAGCTTTTACACATAGACGCTTTTACACACAGACACTTTTACACACAGACGCTTTTACACACAGGCACTTTTACACACAGACACTTTTACACACAGGCGCTTTTACACACAGACAGTTTTACACACAGACGCTTTTACACACAGACGCTTTTACACACAAACACTTTTATACACAAACACTTTTACACACAGACACTTTTGCACACAAAAGCTTTTACACACAGACGCTTTTACACACAAACACTTTGACACACAGACACTTTTACACCACAGACACTTTTACACACAGACGCTTTTACAAAGAAGCTTTTACGCACAGACGCTTTTACACACAGACGCTTTTACACAGAGACGCTTTTACACAGAGACGCTTTTACACAGAGACGCTTGTACACACAGACGCTTTTACACACAAACACTTTTATACACAAACACTTTTACACACAGACACTTTTGCACACAAAAGCTTTTACACACAGACGCTTTTACACACAAACACTTTGACACACACAGACACTTTTACACCACAGACACTCTTACACACAGACGCTTTTACACACAGAGGCTTTTACACACAGAAGCTTTTACACACAGAAGCTTTTACACACAGATGCTTTTACACACAGATGCTTTTACACAGAAGCTTTTACACAGATGCTTTTACACAGACGCTTTTGCACACAGACACTTTTACACACAAACGCTTTTACATTTCTACACTTTACACCACAGAGGCTTTTACACACAGAAGCTTTTACACACAGCACACAGAAGCTTTTACACAGACACGTTTACACACAGAAGAAATCGCAATTTTACCTCAGATTTTGGCGATCGAACCTCATTTCATGCGAAAGGGTTGCGCGGGACAAGTTAAAATCGCAATTTTACCTCAGCCTTTCGCGATGACACCTCATTTTGTGTGAAAGGGTTGCGCCGGACAAGTTGAAGTCACAATTTTACCTCAGTTTTTGGCGATCGAACCTCATTTCGTGCGAAAGGGTTGCGCCGGACGACTTGCAAATCGCAATTTTACCTCAGTTTTTGGCGATATAGAACCTCATTTCGTGCGAAAGGGTTGTGCCGGACACTTTGAAATCACAATTTTACCTCAGTTTTTCGCGATCGAACCTCATTTTGTGCGAAAGGGTTGCGCCGGACAAGTTGAAGTCGCAATTTTACCTCAGTCTTTGGCGATCGAACCTCATTTCGTGCGAAAGGGTTGCGCCGGACGACTTGCAAATCGCAATTTTACCTCAGTTTTTGGCGATATAGAACCTCATTTCGTGCGAAAGGGTTGTGCCGGACACTTTGAAATCACAATTTTACCTCAGTTTTTCGCGATCGAACCTCATTTTGTGCAAAAGGGTTGCGCCGGACAAGTTGAAGTCGCAATTTTACCTCAGTTTTTGGCGATCGAACCTCATTTCGTGCGAAAGGGTTGCGTTTCGTGCCGTCTCGTTGGCACTGCCCCTGCCCCCGCCTTCAGAAGAGAAATAGAAAAGAAGGAGAGGGCAAGAGGGCAAGAGGGCGAGAAGGCAAGAGGAGAAGATGTGAAGATGTGAGGATGTGAAGATGTGAAGATGTGAGGATGAGAAGATGTGAAGATGAGCAGATGTGAAGATGTGAAGATGTGAAGATGAGAAGATGTGAAGATGAGAAGATGTGAAGATGAGAAGATGTGACGACCCTAGTCTGCGGGATGGAGTAGATGTTGAGCAACTGTCGGGAAAGAGCCACAAAAACATTGGAAAAACAGAGTGTTTCGCAACTTTTCTACCTTTTCGCGCACCTGCACCTGCTTTTTTCTGACTCTTTCTCTTCTCTGATCTTCTTTCTCCTTCTCTTCTCTTCTCCTCTCTGACTTTTCCCACCTCTGCTTTTTCATCTGTCCATATTATTGTCAGAAGTTTGACTTCTAAACTTCCTTCCGCCAATAGGTTAGATAATGGAGATTTAACCAACAACAACAATATATAAATGGGTGTATCTGTGTATGTGTGTGTGTAAAAAATATATATTATATATTATATAATTATATAAATAAATAAAAAAATATATATATATACTTGCATACATATATCGAACTGTAGGCAAATTCTTTTAACATGAAGGACAACTCATTGAGCAATAAACTCACACGCAGCTCACAGTTAATCAATAAGTAAACCCAACGAATCGGGATTCAAGAAGACTGATCAAACATGTGCATAGTAAAATTAATTTGCATACGAAAGCAATGCATATTTCACCAACAACTCACGGTATAGTAGTCATAATCTAGATAGATACATGTTCGTGGTTTCAACCCGTTCAAAACATTTGAAGACATTTGAACCAATGGGATCATGATCCGTAAAACTCAAATGGCCAACCAGAAATTCGTGGGGATCTACGGGCTTGCGTCTGCGAATTGGATGGCTAATCCTAAACATGACTAGCTGAATCCTGCAATTTTGACAAACAATTGCAGATTGGTCCGTCTGAAACTGGGTGATATGACCTCAAAATCTCCAACGCTGGAAAATGAGTAGACACCATGAAGCTTTTTCTTTCCCAACAGTTTCAGACAACAACTTCATACCAACAAGAATAGCCTCTCTAAACCAAGATTGATGTGGGGATGGGTCAAAACCTTGTACCCCTTCTGTTCACATCAAAATAGCTGGTAAATGGATGTTCATCCCATTAAAAATGGTACTTATAGGTATTGATCCATAGCCAATTCTATCCACCTTCCGAAAAAATCGGTAGATTTCCACATTTTCCCAGGCTTTCACCATGGCTTTTCCACCTCTTTCCATCGAGAATTCGTCCTGCCAGCTGGTGGAATCTTCGAGGAGCCGTTCGGTATTGCTCAACGCCTGAAGATCCACGGGGACGGGACGCCTTGCTGGACATCAATAGGGAAAATCTCAGGGAAATATATGGACATAATATGGACATAATATGGACATAATATGGACATATATCATCTTAGACTGTTAGACTGTTTGTTTTTTCAGATCGTTTTTCAAGTAGTCGTGGCATGTTTTTTCCACTTTTTTCACGTACGAGCTTTCCTCCGCTGAGTTGTTCTAACTTGCTATGGTGTAGGTGACCCATAAAAGTTGATGATTTACCTAGTCGAAATAGTGATTTTCCATAGCAAACTGTGTATGGGAATATGTAACCATCAACAATGGTGGTTAAATGGGAGTTTCACTGTGGTTTATCGATGGCTATACCATATTTTGGGATATTTTGGGAATATCATGGGGATATGGTGGCATTATCATAGCAATCAACAGGCGAATTTTGGGACCTGGAACCCCTGCTTGGTGGTTCATCCCACTTCCTGGCTTAAGAATTGGATTTATAGTGGGATATATAACAAACACGAGGATATCTTGCAATATGGGGATTGGTTGAAACTTTTGAGGGGTATGAGCACTCATAATTCCTGGCTATTTTGATGAGAACAGAAGGGTATCAGGGCAAATAATACGAAACTCTGGTGGAATATGGTGGATTGCGTGGGATTTCTTGATTTGCTGGGTAAAACGGGGGGTTTCTAATCTTGGGGCGATTAGTATTCCCTAATCTTCCAAAAGAATAAATTTATCTGAGATAGCTATGAGCTATCAGGCTATCTCCAGGCTTATTGCATGGTTAAGCCAACTTCTTTCCGCTTTTTCATTGGTAAAGTCCACAGGTATGTTGGTCAAGCCTCCATCAACCATTCTCAACCCAGAAAATCCTATCGGTCAAGTCCCCATGGGTGAAATTTGATTAAATCATATGGACTCCACATTTTATGGCTTTCACCCCAATGTCTATAGGGCAAATTCTGCTTAAATCCACATTTCTATGATTCCAAATCCTTGGTTAAATGCTTCAACATTTTTTTTCCGCTTAAACGCTTCAAAATCCCAATTCATCCTGCTTAAATGGTTTAAAGTCACCATTTTTCTTTGCTTCAATCCTTGCCTCGCGGCCATTGAAGCCCCCGCAAACGTGCAGCACTCCGTTCAGCTCAGCCAAGGAGGCGGCCATGCGACAGTTGGGCCTAAGACACGTGGGCATTTCAATGGGAAAACCATGGCACTTTGAGGATTCGAACCAAATTGGGAGTGTTTATTTTGGCCATAAGACATTGCTGGCAGGTCCTAGCCCCTCTGAAACAGATCTAGTGAGGACCATCCCATTGCCACAAGAGGCGCTCCCAAATCGGGGCACCAACACTGTTGTGATGTTTATTTGAACCAACAAAATGTAGAGATATGAAACCCTGGCGATGATTCGAACTGGGATCCGCCCAAAAATCTCTGGCATCCATGGTATGCCACTGGCATCCCATGCCTTTCGGCAGGGCACATGTCCGGCAACGGAAGCCACCTCTCCAGCCGTGGATTGTAACATTCGCAGGCACGGATGGACCTCACCGCGGACGGCGACAAGGCGGATGGTATTTGAGAATCTTAGAGGACATCTCATAAAGGGAAATACTGTAGAAATATACTCTTAAAATATAGAAGTAGAATTTCCAGAATTTTCCCTTTATGGTACTTCGACACACCGATTTTTTTTGGGTCTGGAGCTCCAAGCTGTAGATGTGGTAACCCTGGACATACTTTTCTACCATGTGGGGATTGAATCAATCTCAAAAACACATGGTGTTCGTACAAAGTGGTGCCCCGCCAGTTGTAAGTTGCTTTATAAACCGTAGCAAACATAGATATATCTACCATAAGCATCCAAAAACCTTAGTTATTATGGTTTGGTTTACCACATGTAATACCTATGGTTTCCCGCATTTTCGACGCTCATCCATCGTCCAAGTGGCTCAATCCCCAACACCGAAGGGTTATGACCTGGAACGGCGGTTAGGCGTTACGGGTCGGCATCAAAGGTGGGTATTACCATTGTTTGGGGAATCGAATCACCACGAAATAAATGCTTCTTGACATAGGGGTACCCCGAAATCATCCAAGCCCTTTAGGATGTAAACCCACTTTGGGAAAGACCAAACATGGACATATCACCTGAGTTTAATCATGTTGAACCATCAAGAGTGGATTAGGACCTATTGGATTCGTCCGATAGTAAGATTGTGGGGATACTAAGCAAGCAAAGTTTGGGACGAGGATGATCAACACCCCATCGTCGGCTTTTTCAGACGTGTCAGGTGGTCCAAGAGTGATTTAACATATATAATATATTATATTATATAGTATATATATAATATAATATATATATATAATATATATATAATATATATATAATATATATAATATATAATATTATATATATATGATATATAATATATATAATATATATATATATAAGTACTAAGCAAACATGTGGAAATGATGGCACGGTGAGGTCTGCACATGTCATCTACATGCATCACATATCATCCAGACACATCATCACTGGTGATGCCCCTGTGGCTCATCATTCCAAGAAGGAAACTGATACGGCCAAACATAGGGGTACCAAATGATCCACACAATTGATTATGTAGCCTGAACATTGGGTACTAAAATGGTGGTTTAATGGTGGTTTAATGGGATTTAATGGGAATATACCCTCTGGTAAACTAACATAGCTATAGAAAATGGCCATAGAAATAGTGAATTTTCCCATTAAACATGATGATTTTCCCATAGCTTTTTGTATGTTTACCAGAGGGTATCCCAAAGATCAAATCATCCCATTTTTTGTTGGGGCCAATCACTTTGAGCACCAGACATTTGCCCATTGATGGTTACTATATCAAGAAACATATCCTCAATCCCCATGAATTGATGGATAAGTTGTGGTTAAAATCCCATGTATTATCCTGTAATGATTCAAAGCCACCAAGGACTTCAGTTTCCACCTTCCTCATCGGTTTGCCGCCTCCACATAGAAACAGCTGCCCATGTGCCGCCAAAGCGGAGCTGTGAATTCGCGGCAAGAGCATTGAGGGCAGAGCTTCCCAAGCACCTCTGGGGAAGGTTGGGTGCGATCACCAGTGACTGGGGGGTATTAAACGCCACTTGCACTGCTTTCAATTTACTGTCTCTCTATTTCTCTGAAGTCGGGAGCCAACAAGTAAAAATCATTTCAAAAATAGTAGGCTCACATCCCAACCCCTTGACCATATATTTGTTCATGTTCATTTCTATCAGATGTGGGCATGTGAAATCGTTGGGACACCCAACTTGCACCAGTTTCTGATGTTCCTGCTCTACATTTTTCGGAATTCTTCGACCATTCCGTAAGCACCCTGCCACCACACGCCTCGTGCTGGATTGAAGCGTTCCGCGGAGTTCAAGGCTTGTTGATCTTCGGAACCACCACAGACGTACCTTTTGAAGCACCCAGCTAGGCGCTGCTGGGCTGTTTTCCCACTTTGGGATGAACATTCAACAAAACACATCAGAAAAAAGGGGATGTTCTCAGTCGATTTCTTAGATGTCCTGGTTTAGAACCTCATTTTCATTCATTTTAATCATTTTCCACAATTTTTACTGCCAGAAAATGGAGGTAAATCCCCCATATGTTCGTTATACACCATTCATCTCTGTCAATTCCATCGCAACACATCATATGATGTACCGGTATCTCTACCATACCGAATTGAGACAAAATCAGCATGTACACTAAAGATCACTAAAGTATCTAAAGTCAACGTCCTAGATGGTTTGCCGGAAAATCCCATTTAGTTCGGAGATTTCTCAGGCAACCATGTTTGATTACCGAAGGGTAACAGCCCATCACAGCTAGTTAGCTACTTAGTTGGTTGGTTAGTTAGCGAGTCAGTCAGTCAGTTAATCCCTATATTCCAATGATTCCGGTGTAATTCCCATAGTTACTTCATCCCCACGAAAAACGTTTTGGACCAACGAACCCCCCTGGGAGTTCCACCCTCCGGGCCCCTCCGGGCCCTCCGGGCACAAGCATCCGTCCAGCACAGCCGAAGAGGAACCGAAGCGGCGTTGAGCCATGGCAGGCAGTGCCTGTGGGGGGACGTTCAGTGGCCAAATGTGAATCAACTACAGGGAATACTGGTGAATTTCATGGTTAATGATGGTTATTAATGTTTAATGATGGCATATAGAAAAAAATACTATGGATGGATGAAATCCGATAAACCACCAATCCAGGATGAAAGCCTATAGATAATGGGATGTTTACCACCTGTCAACTGGTGATTCGGATTTCGCAACCATCGACAGTATTTCAATGATGATTTTACCCAAGGTTTATGGAACATCAATGGTTAATGATGGTAAATGATGATCAATGGGGATAGATTAACATTCAAAACTAGATAATGGAGACATGTTGTTTTTCTTTGTTTAATGGGGAAATTATCTATAAATCTGATATATATAATGGTTAGTATTTAGTGGATAATGTGGTACACCCAATAATGAATCAAATATCTTAGAACGAACCAATTATAACCCACCAATTAGGATTTAGTCATCAAATTGGGATATAATATTAGTAATATTCCTTTTTATTCCTGATATTCCTCATTCCATTGTTGATACGGCCTAATGTGACAAACCCAATAATTCACACCCCCAAAATCACCATAAATGGATGCTATAAAAACTATGCCCAAATAGTAGGTTTACGACGTTGGGTTTCCCACATTACTCGGAACATTTTAAATGGATATGCAAAATATTGCAAAATGGGATTATATATATATATGATTTTATATGACAATCCAATTCCAAGAGTCGGGTATACCCCAGAGCGAGGATTTTAATGTTTCGGAAACTCGTTCAGAACGGATTTTGGGATACGCCCTTTGCGCCCGGGCGCCTCCCAGTGTCCCGTGCTGGGATCCAATCTCTCCACAGAACTCCGCACCTTTGAGGCGAGGGGCGGTATGGATGGGGAGCCTTTTTTGGGGATAACGGGGAGATCATGGGGAAAATCCACCAATGGCGATCTTTAACGGGTAGTGGCTACAGTATCCAATGGGTATCTAATGGATATATATATATATCTAGTGGGAGTACAACGCAGATATCATGCTGAAACCCGAAGGGTCTGGTTCGTTTTTGTCCCGGAGTCGGAGAACTGGGAACACCCACCACACAAAAGGTACGACAACTTTCTAAGTTGGCTAAATCATATCCCACAATATCCCATCAAGTCCATGATTGCTATGATTGTTGGTGATATTTTGGTTTTACAGTCCCAAAACATTGTTGGTTCCCTACTTAGCCCCGTTCCATCCACGGGTTGAAAGGCATCGAATTTTGCCTATCAAAATGGCCATAAGAGTTGTTGAACCCGTGGAAATTTCAGACCCCAGTTGTGATATCCTCTGGAAATTTCACACAGCCATGGGACATGACCCATGAAAGTGGATTACTTACCTCTTAAAAATGGCGGCTTTCCAGTTTGCAAACTGTTAGATTACTAGAGGGTAACCCCAAAATGAAGAGATTTTGATCACATTGTACATCCTGTTATATAAATGCCATGATTAATCCCATTGCATTCTGAAACCAAAGTAACCCCATCATCATATCACTAAAATACAAAAAATGCATCTATATGCTTGATTATCATGGAAGAAACCCAAACACCATCAAACAACATTAGGGTGACCCCAAAAAACCCTCTGGTAAACTAACATAGCTATTGAGCATGGTGATTTATAGTGAGTTTTCCCGTTAAAAATGGTGATTTTCCATAGCTATGTTAGTTTACCAGAGGGTAACATCAATTTGAAGCCATGACCCCCGGCTTCCGGGACGCCGAGACGCCTGCTGTTGGTGACCGCTTCCCCCACAAACGTACAGCCAGGTCAGGGCTTCCTGGCGGTCACAAAAGGCTGGGGGATTTACCGAGCGGAAACATGGGGATAATCATGGGGATTTACTGAGCAAACATATGTGAACATGGGGATTGAAGGGAAATTTCATGGGAAATAGGGCTCTTACCATTCTTATATTGGGGGGTACTACATGGGTAGAATTCAACAGTGGGTACAAGAGTTGGGCAAAGATCCAGTGAAAACCTGATTCCAAACATGCTGAAGTGCCAGTGTCTCAAAAATACCATCCCCCAATTAACAGTGACCCAGAGACTAACTGCCATTGAGAGGTGACCCTGGCAGCAACTGCGAATCGGAACCCTGGTGATATCCTAATTTCTTATCCCTGGTAATTTGTTACAGATTGAAAATGACCCGTTTATAGTTGATTTACCGTTCTTAAAGATGGTGATCTTCCAGTTCGCAAACTGTCAGTTTACCAGAGGGTACCTCGCCCAACTATTGGTAGGGCCACCACAGTCCGCGCAGCCTGACCTGAATAGCTGGCGCCCGTTCCGAGAGCTTGTGAGCCATGGATCGACAGGTGGCCTAATGCACGGGGGTCACTGAGTTAACCGGCTGGGGGGACAAAGATGCGCTGTATTTATGCAGGATACTGGTACATGTGTGTGTATATGTGTATATGTACAGTATATATATAATTATATATGTTATAGCTATGCCTTCAATCTATGTTGTGTAAATATATATGTACACAGTATATATATATATATACACGTATAGATACATAATATTTTGGGCTGGAGACTTGGAGTGATATATTCATGTGTTGTATATGTTGCCCAAGAAGTGGAGAAACATGGCCTCATTGTGGCCTCATTGTAGGAAAATATACCCAATGCACGCATATGGGATACGCCAACTGGCAATGTGATCGCATGTTAGACTAGACACGAGGTACATGATGGTTTTGAGTGATGGAATCCAACTTCAAGTGATCGTACATTATTCTACATCTCCCATGCTGCATGAAAGGCATCATACGATTTAATATCAAATCTTGGCGCATACAAAACGCGTGCGAACATTGACGAGGAGCTTTCCCCCATAGAGATCTTACAATCGAATTCGTTGCGATTCTTGATTGACCAGAAGATACAAGTATTTCAAGTATACAGTCACCGACAGAATTATGGAAAAAAAAAACGTTTCAATTTACAGGCGCCGCCTGTCTATGATAGAAAAGTTACGAACCTTTTTTTTTCCATAATTATTGTTTCCATAATTATTTTTTTCCATAATTCTGTCGGTGACTGTATGTCCATCGATTCGCAATTTGAATGCATTTTAAGGGGGAATATTGAATTATAGAAAATATGTGTCTAAAGATCTGGTATATGCCCCTAAGTCTTCCATTGATATACATAATATCATGTCATGTTCGCAATTTGAATGCATTTTAAGGGGGAATATTGAATTATAGAAAATATGTGTCTAAAGATCTGGTATATGCCCCTAAGTCTTCCATTGATATACATAATATCATGTGATGATATGTGATGTTCGCAATTTGAATGCATTTTAAGGGGGAATATTGAATTATAGAAAATATGTGTCTAAAGATCTGGTATATGCCCCTAAAGCCTGCCATTGATATACATAATATCTGGATGTTTCCTTTTGCCAAGCCACCAATTGGGTTGATACTACATACTTGCATTTGCATACATATTTCCATAACCCCCAAAAAAAACGGGTTTGAATTGTGGATCCATGACATGTCCAACAGGTGGAGCCCCAAACATTAATTATGGAAAAAAATAATTATGGAAAAACCGGTCAATCTGCCCTAGCCCCCTGATTTCACAGGAAAAATCAATTATGGAAATAATGGCCACCTCCAAGAATTATGGAAAAAAAAGGTTCGGATCACTTCCGGGATATTTTGAACCCTTATGGGGAAAAATCCAATTATGGAAAAATCGGACGCAGGCGCCGCCTGTCTAAGTTAAACGTTTTTTTTCCATAATTCTGTCGGTGACCATAGTGCTATAATATACAAGTATCTTGACATAGATGCAACACAACAATCCAACCAATACACCAACTGTTGACAATACCAGTAATATGTGATATTTCCATTAAATCCCATTAAATCCCATTAATAAGATATCATTAAATCCCATTAATTCCCATTAAATCCCCATTGTTGATGCATCAAATCCCCAATGTTGCTGGGTTAAATCCAACCCCTGGCCCCGCCACCAGTTGCTTTCCCACCTTCAAGGCCGTCATCATGTGCTGCCCACCATAACGGGCGGACTGCAGCGCAATGTGTGCCGGCTCCTTCGGTGGTTCTTGGATTTCTTGGCGCGCGGCAGTTCTGGTGGGATTCTACTTGGTGGCTCATCCCACTTAGTAAGTGGGATATAACCCCAGTTATAAATGGGATTTTTGTAGGGTTAATCCACTTCAATCACTGGGGTTATAACCCACTTACTAAGTGGGATGAGCCACCAAGTACCCCAACTGGAAAACGTGACCACAATTTCTATGGTCTCACTTTAAAAAACAAATCTCCCCAATCCGCTAACAAAAAACCATCAGATATCCGCTGATTTCATCACATGTTGGTGAAAAATCTCCAGTTTTGATCATGAAATATCTGCTTTATACAGTGATTTCAAATACTGGGCTTCTTCTCATATGAGGATCCTCAATCTTGCTAAGAATCCGCACAAATCACTGCCAATATCTATGAAATCACCCTACTACAACAGTATCCAGTTATCACGTAATAATCTCCAATTCCACCCAAAATGCAGTTGCTGCCAACATTGGATATTGCATTCTTGGTGAATCATAATCTACAATGCCATCGAATGCCAGGCCCCCTAAAACTATGGGTTTCTTCTACTAAAAAGCAACTAGTTTAGGCGTTGTAGGATACTCCTAATTTTTTTAGTCGTTCTATAATTCTGGTTTGTTCTATAATTGTGTTTTCTCCTTTTTTCCCACATTTACCAGTTTCGTTCTATAATTAATTTTGCGTAAACCGTTCTATAATTCTGGTTTCTGTGTCGCTTTTTTCTGGGGTCCCAGAAAGATACATAAAATGATGCAAATATATGATAATATATGTAAATAACCTCTTCCGGGGTCCCAGAAAGATACATAAAATTATGCAAGTATATGTCAGTAACCTCCAAGGTGCCAGAAATTATAGAACAGAAAAAACAATTATAGAACAGGATCCGAATCCGCGCGGAATCGGGATCCGGAGGAGTACGAAGGTACGGTATTTTACCGTACTTTTGTACTCCTAATTTTGTTCTATAATTTTGGCACCACCTGTAATTATCCCCATTGTGCTAGCGTTATTATCCCATGATTCTTCCGCTCTGACCCCCATTAAAATCCCATTGGATCGTTCTTACCCTCATCAAATTTCCACTGGATAATTTTGAAACTGTGGTGGATGGAAGAAATCCTGCATCACCAAGTTCGGATGGTTGAAACCCTATAAATATCTATAAATAATGGGATGTTTACCACCTATCAACTGGTGATGAACGGATTTCGCGTTGCCATCTGTAGTACTTGACAATAGGCTCCTTTTTCAGGACGAATCATCCCCATCAGATCATAATCCCAGGATCATCCCAATAGTATACCCATCCATATGTATATATATATAATTATATATATAATATTACTTATATATAATATTACATATATATAATATTACATATATATATATATTATTACACACATATATATAATATATATATAAATATAATATTACATATATATATAATATTACATATATATATATAATATTACATATATATATAATATTACATTAATATATATAATATATATATAAAATATTACATATATATAAAATATTACATATATATATAATATTACATATATATATATATAATATTACATATATATATAATATTACATATATATATATAATATTACATATATATATATATATATTTAATATTACATATATATATAATATTACATATATATATAATATTACATATATATATATATATATTATTACACATATATAAATAATATTACATATATATAATAATATATATATATAATATTACATATATATATAATATTACACACATATATGTATATATATAATATTACATATATATATATTATTACACATATATATAATATTACATATATATATAATATTACATATATATATATAATATTATATATATAATATTATATATATATAATATTACATATATAATATTACACATATATATATATTATAAATCATGATAAATCCCAACAATATCCATGTTTACCCTCTGGTCAATCAAGAGTTTGGTATTGAACATGGCCATTTATGGTTGCTCTTTATTTTCAAATGGTGTTCCAGTTCGCAAACTGTGACAGATTACCAGAGGTATTGCTTACCCTCTGGTAATTTAACATAGCTATTGAAAACGACCATAGAAATAGTGGATTTTCCCATGAAAAATGGTGATTTTCCATAGCAAACTGTGAGTTTACCAGAGGGTAAACCAATCCCTGCTTGGTGGCTCATCCCATGAATCGTAAATGGGTTATAACCCCAGTGATTTACATGGGATTTTTGTAGGGTTCATCCACTTCAATCACTGGGGTGAACTAACCCACTTACGAGCCGTGGGATGAGCCACCAAGTACCCCAACTGGAAAACGTCAAACAATTTCTATGGTCTCACATAGCTATTGAAAATGACCATTGAAAGTGGATTTTCCCATGAAAAATGGTGATTTTCCATAGCTATGTGAGTTTACCATGGGCCTCCAACACATCCAACAAGTTCTTCTCGAAGCTCTGTGGAGACGACTTCAACGCAGCCTCGAAGCGTCGCCTGGAACCAAACAGAAAAGGCCATGGATTTCACGGTTCCGTCACTGGTTTTAAGGGGTAAATCCATGGTAAATCATGGAACTCAACGGGCCATGGATTTCACTATGTTAAATGACCAGAGGGTACATTTAGTAAGCATTTTCACAATGAATATTCAAATAGAAATAACAGAGTATATGTGTATGATGTTTTACATGTTTTGGCACCGATTTGAAACAAATAGTTCGTTGATCATGTCAAGCACAGCATGAAGCGCGTCAAGGTTGGGAGACGGCCCTCGATAAATTCCCAGTCAGCTGCTAGTCTTACGAAATGACTAAGTTCAAGATGAAAGTCAAAAAATGGTCATGTCCCAAGTGCGGAAATCATCTTCCAAATGCTCTTTATGTTGTTCCATGTTGAATTTTGCGGCACTCTGAAACACACTGGCCATGAAAAAATAGAACCAACACGTCAACATACCGTATCTAAACAAATCCATGGTTTCGAACATCCTCCTCACAGATGCCATATCTACCCCACCTGTGCATCGATGCGGAGAAAGTCTCCGGGCGCAACAAGCGCAGGTCCACGAGACAATCCAACAGCGCACAATGCTCCTGCGTAGTGGGATGGAGATGGGGGTACCCCAATAGCTGGACAGGTTATTTAATGGAAAATACAAAAAACATGAATGTTTTTTGGGGGGTAACCCCCATTTTGGGCAACCCCCCCTATAGTTTTATAAATTATATATGTACGTAAGCATTTATCATACAACATTTTGTACATGTGCATAGGACGTGTATATGCATATACGTGACGTTCCTCACAAGGGCCGGCTCGTGGCCAAGCCGTACGTGCTGACCCTGAGGCGGAAGATTGATTGGTTCACTCGCAAAACATATCTATGACTACTTTCATATGTGACCATATCCTATACTATTATCATTGCAATTATACATACATATATATATACATAATAAATACATATCTTAGCTTACATTTGTGATAAATCATATCAGATATACCACATGCACATAAAATCTCTAACTTATCAGAGTGTAAGAGACATTTGATAACTAGCAAACAGATTTGAGGTTGTCATATCATTTACACATTACATTTATACATTTGCTAAGAGAAGCCAATCACCACTATATGCTGGTTGTTGCTTTCAATCCCCACTTTGACTCATTTTGATAGGTATACAAATCCCCCATCTTCTTAAATTTGATAATCATTGTAATCATCCAGATTTGGTGGTTATCTCCATTCAACAAAACACATCCCAATAAAGAATCACCCCATTTGAAACATCCCAATTAAAAAGCACATCAAAAAAAACATACCAATAAAGAATCCTCAGCAATCATCATCAATCCCCATTTTGTCCGGTTCAGTGCCCTATGGTCATCCAAGGATATCCAGGTAACACCGGAAACCGCCCGGTGTTACCTCCCGCAGCTGCAGAAGCGCTGCCCGAAGCTGCCGGAACTCCGAGCGAAAGCCCGGGCTGCTGGGGGGGGACATCGACATGGCGATGGTCACAACGACACGGTCACAACGGGGAGATGTCAAAGGTGAGCTGAGTCAGCTTAGTGATGATGGAAGATGGAAGATTTTGATGATGATGATGATGATGATGATTAGTGATGATGATTTTGAAGTTGTCAAAGTTCTAAGTCATCAAATCTCAACTTTTTTTGGAAGATTTTTGAATGTGATGATGGAAGGTCATGAATCTAATGGATTCTTGTGTGTGTTGTTCAGATGATATTCTGTTTTCTAGAAGTAAACTTACAAAAAATCACTACGCACATTTTCATGTAGACTATGCAGATTTTCACCGGTTGGTGGTTTCAACCCGTCTGAAAAATATGAAAGTCCGTTGGGATGATGAAATTCCCAATATATGGAAAAAATAAAAGCCATGTTCCAAACCACCAACCAGATCAACCAGATATGATCTCACGCACTTTCCTTAGATCTTCATGGTTGCCCTGGTGCAGCATTTTGCTGGATCCATAAGTTGCCCCCTCTGACGGCGAAACACGTGACGCAGCAAGCAGCGTCAGCAGCGTCCCGCATTTGGCGTTTTTGTGTAGGGATATGTTCTGGGGTATATCATCTATATCTAATGGGAACCATATGGGAACCATATGGGAACCATATGGGAACCATATAAAACATGATCATTTTAAATGGATAAAAAGTCCATTGAATTACCAGCCATTTCACCAAGTCCTCCAGCCATTCCCATCATCAAATCACAGGGACAGTCCGCGGGCATCGATCTTTTTCAGCCTCGTCCTCGTGCGGTCGTGCCTGGGGGTCCAAGCGCTGCAGCCGTGTGCAGCCCCAGAGGAATGGAAAAACCCAGAGGAATGTGGTAAAGATATGGGTATGGCCCAAAAATGGCAGTTTTACTGCTGCAAATAGTAATGATCATTGAGTTTCCATATTATATATATATGGGTATGGGTCAATACCTATTATTAATACCATTTTTAGTGGGTTATTCACATCCATAAATCCCAGCTATGACTTGGGGTTCACTAGGTACCAGGGTTTTGACCCATCCCCATATGTAGAGATTGCCAAAAAAAAAGTGCCAGGCTGCCAGAAAAACCTTCAACTTTGAATGTCACGAAAAAAATCTGGTGACATTCTGGATGGTTCTACGATTGGGTTCACCAGATTATGTGGTTAATATACTCATTATATATATACATATATAGGATATTCCCATTACATTCCAATATGATATTCCCCTCTGAGTGTAGGGAATCAAAGATGTTACTGCGAAAATCCTCGATTTCTATCCATTTATCAACGCATTTCTTAGTATAACATGAATATTTTCCAATGCCTGGCTGTTTTGTGCTGGTCATCTGGATATTTTGCAACATATATGCGAGTCAAGCCAACAAACATGGGCATATTTGCCGATTTATTGCATCACTAGTCATCTATGTCTATGAGAGATGATAAATCCCACGACGGATTTAAATACCCGTTCGGTGGACCCAGGGGAGGTCCAGCCCCTGAAATATATAGTAGACCCCAGTGGCTGTTTTCCAGAGGGGCCTGACCCTCCCATACTCCTTCTGAGCATTTCTGAATGGATAAAATCTAGGGGCCCAAGCCTAGCATTCGTAAACCAAAGATTTTTGCTAACACTCAAATTGGACAAGGGAACCAATACTTTGGAGCATTTTGGACGTTCCAAAATGATCAAAGGTCAGGCCCCTCAAATAAAATTCAAAGGCCCAACTTTCCAAAGATAAAATCAACAGGTTTGACCTGAAATTGGAATGAGATAAAATCCAAGGGCTGGACCCCCCTTGGGTCCCTCTTTGGAAGCGAGTACCCTTGAGGGGACATAGGGGGGTCAGGCCCTTTGGAATTTATCTCACACATAGGATCGAGATAAAATCTAGCATGTATGCAGATAAAATCTAGGGCCAAACCTTCAAATTTACTCAAAAAACTACAAAAATAGCCATGCACCCCAGGGGCTGGAGCCCCTAGATCTCAGCCCGGACTGCCCAACGGGTATGATTTAAGGTCTTTTGTCATGATTTCATAGTAGCAACATCGATTTTGAATGAGATCGGCCGGGAAGTGACCGTATCCAGAGCTGATGATACAATGAAGATATCCTGGTTGGTGGTATACCTACCCCTCTGAAAAATGATGGAGTTCGTCAGTTGGGATGATGAAATTCCCAATATATGGAAAGTCATAATCCAGCCATGTTCCAGTCACCACCAACCAGTATCATAACCATCATATTCCCATTGTTGTTGGTTCAAAAACCCTATGAAAACCACTATAAAAACCATCACTATTAACCAGATATATCACCATTGATAATCATTAACCACTATGAACCAGGTTTAAAAACCCTATGAAAACCACTATAAAAACCATCACTATTAACCAGATATTTTTCACCATCCAATGGAGATATCATGGGTATCATCCCGGAGGCGTTTGTTGATGAACTCCAACTTTTGGGCCGGCTGAGAATGTGGCTGTTGAACCAGGCCACAAAAAGATAGGTTTTCATATCTTTTTTGGGGGTTTCCACAAGGTAAACATAGGGAAAAAAACCATGGTGGTAGCCAGTTTTTTCATGTTACCCAGCTCAGTTCTTCTTCTTCTTCTCCAGCTTCTTCTTGTAGAAGGCCAACTCCTGGGAGGGTGGTGGTGCTTGGTGGTACATTGGTGCCTGGTGACATGCTGGGCCACTGTAATTGGATGTAGGAACACAGGGAGTTTGTGAAGTTCCTTTTTTCTGCACAACTGGAACACTACATTTCTAGGAAGTATTTTTCGAACATCTAGGAAATTTATGGACACTTACTATATCATATATCATACACTTACTATATCATATATCATATACTGCACAAACCCACCAATTTGCCCAGATTTTTCTATTGGGTACCGCATCCCCAAAGTCGGGTAGCGAAACTTAGCTTTGGGATGGTTTCACCCTCTGATCAAATGCCAAACGACATTCATCCATGAGGATTGACCATGAACAATTGGCAACAAACATCTCCACAATTCAATGGCTTTGACTGAACATACAAAAAAACACCTAAACCCAACTACCAGATCAAATTGGATATACAACCCCATTTACTAGTGATATCCCGAGTATATCTCAATTCAATCCCATTTGAACTTAAATAGCTATCAAATCAAGTCCGTTCTAGAATCCCAAGCCACCAGCTATATCCTCATGGTATCCCCATATTCGTGGTTGCATCACTATATCCTGATTTTCATGGCGAAAGTCCTCATTTATATCCCATTTCCCAGCTATACCACTCTTCCACTATTTGCCAGTTATATATATATATATAGTGACAAGCTAAACATATAGTTACATATATAAAATCATAGATAATTAGCTAAATTATGTATAACATATACATTAGTTATATATAATTCACATGCAAGTTATATATGTATATATGTATATCAATATATATATATATATACACATACCTGTATGTTGTATATATACATATATATATATTACATATATATATATATATTACATATATATATATACCTGTATGCTTTACACAAATTAATGGTTATATATACACATATAAAAAGCAAGTATGTATATATATATTATATAAATTATATATACACATATCAGTTACATATACATTCATGTAAAAGGTATTATGTAAGTTATACAAAAGTTATCACCCCATAAGTCCCAGTGATATCTGTCCCACAAAAATCCGTCCTCCCCCTCGAGCACGTAGCCGTCGGCGCGGCCACACTGCCCCGGGCGGGAGGCAATGCAGGCGAGCAAGCGACCACTTTGGAATCTGGACAGTTCGGACAGCGCATCATCTGCCCAGAAAACACCAGAAATATCATGAACAAATCATGGTAAACATATCTTGTAAGATCAAACAATCCATATTATTAACACTGATTTTTTTCGTAGCCCTCCTATATTTCAATCCGCTGACAGCATAAACATAATTATCTCAACATAATCTCGACCTTATTAATGATGTTTTATCAATACATACAGCGTATATATCGTTGGTCTGGAAATGGGGGATCTACCCACCAACATATGAGGGATAATGATGACTAACCAGTGGATATTCGTGTTTTTACACAAAGCCCACATAAGAGGGCTCTAGTTTTTTCTACATGTATGGCTTGTATGCTTAACTATTTCGACATTATATTTTATATGTTTAGCAAAATGGGTTTATCTCAAAATGGGCTACTCCAAAATCCAGTGGTCGTTCAACCATCAAATTTTCCCAATGAAATGGCCATTTTTAAACACGGGGCGTATGCCATCCCATTTCTGGACAATCCCATTGCTTTTCCCATGGCAACAGAAATACTCCGTGAAAATATGGCTGGTATGCTAAACATGAAGCCATTCTCACCAACTATCCAGTAAATTTCAGTAAATCCACACAGATATGGAAAGCCCACCATTTGTAGATCATGTTCCTTGGACTTCCCAATGGGTTTTCCAGATCTTTCTCTATGTTTACTGCAGGGTACCTCCCACCAATTAACATAGACCCACCCTCAAAATGTGCTGTTCTCAGGGTCAGATGGGCAGTTGGGGGTTGCTTTTCGACCCATTTTTCACAGCTTGGCCCAGGCTGGTTTATCAAACTTGTCATAAACTAAAAGAACATCCCAGTTTTCCGACAGGGTCTCAAAGATGTTCTTTTTTATGATTTTAGAATTGGGTGTGGGTGAAAATTGGGTACCCCCTGAATCTAGCAGATCATCATCAGCTATTTCAATATTTTCCAAGGGAGTTTTTGGGGCTCCCAATTTTTGGACAAGGCATGATAACTTAAACTTGGATAAATCCCAACAAAAACCGTTAACCCAAGTTTAATTTTGTGGAGTTTAAGTAACCCAAATAAAGCGTGATTTTTGGACAAGTCCATCTCCATTAATCACTGACTAAATCCCCTATTTTGGATGGTCAAATGCTGAGTAAACCCACCATTTTCAGGTACCAAATTCAGACTTATTACATTGGTTGGTCACATACAGTATAATTAACCCATTCTCCCATTGAACCACCATGATAATCGCATGAAATCTTTATTTTTAATCATTTTCCTAGGTAACTCAATCCTCATTTTCCCCGGGAAAATATAGAAAAATCACCATTTTTCCGAGGAAAATCCCGTGTTTTTCGATCCAAGGGACTGATCTTCCAAGCCCACGTCCAACTTCTGCTTGGCCGCGCGGGCCTTCTGCTTGGCAACGACCTTGGGGATTCCAGTTTTATATTTTTTTCGGCAAATCTTTGGAAAATCACTGTTTCAAGGGAAGATTTGTGAGAAGATTTGGGTTGGAGCCACCAGAAAATCGAACATTTTCATGGGACATAGGAAAAATATGGGAAACATCAGCGATTTTAATGGGGATGTGCTCGGAAATCATGGGAAATCATGGGAAATCATATTAAATCATGGGAAATCATGGGAACAGGATCCAATTTCAATGGAATCTCATGTGTTGAGTGGGAAACAAGAGCAAAACAATGGGATATGATATCTTATCCCAGAAAATCCCCGTTGGCTGATAGATAACCACTGGGATAATTCTGGATTACTAGTATCACAATTCTATGGTGGGTAAATTCAATCATTGGACTTTCAAGGTATAGTGACCCCGGAAAACATGCGGCAAAGGTGGACCCCTGTAACAACTACCAGGGAAGATGGGAAAGCATGGAGGCCCCTAAATGGTACCAGTAAACTGATGGGGATTTAACCAACCCTATGTAAGTATGATGGTTGAAGCCAATGGAAGAAAAATTATTGGCAAAACGGTGGGAAAGGAGGTGCAAAGGAGGGAAAAAGACAACAAAACGTGGTTGTGGAAAGGCAACAACACAAGATTCTGATAGAGTATAGCTTAATTTCCGACGTTCATAAGCGATATTTCGACAATCACCAAAAAAGATCACTGTCGGTTCCAAGTACCGGTGTGCTGAGCGATTTGGAAAATCAGTTCCACAGGGTCATAACCCAGTTGTTCTTGATGATGTACAAAAATGGCGGCACCCCCTACCAACTTGGGCCATGTTTGGTTTTAAAGCATCCGAACCGTTCAAATATCTTGAGCTATAGATACAAATTGGTTGTGGTGAACTCGCTCATATGTATGGTATGTGTAATATATATTGTAAGTCATAATACAATGATGTACAGGATGTACAGTAGCCCAACTTGCTTGCATATACATATGGATATATGTACCATATATCATATCGTATCACTATACCGATCATAATTGTGTCACATCGTATCATATTGTATTGTATATCATATCGCATTTTGATAAATATACCATCATGTACTTGGGTTTGTATAAAAGTAGTGCACCCTGAATTTGATGATGTATTATGATTTTCATCATTAAACAACTAAAACATATAAGAATGTCAATAACTTGGAGTGTACCCCAATTTCAAACAGACCAACGTATCATAGCTATATATCCCGTGTCCAATGACATCCCAGCAAAAACGCCTAGACATCATCGCTAAAAATCGCTGATTTGCCAGTGAATTTTCCCATGACATTCACATTACCCTCTGGCAATTTAACATAGCTATTGAACATGGCCATTTATAGTGAGTTTTCCCATTGAAAATGGTGGATCTTTCCATAGTTCTGTTAGTTTACCAGAGGGTAAACACCCATGACATTCCCATGAAAATCCCCATGGATTTGCCACGATGGCCCAACAAAAAATGTCGGCCATGTCACGTGACGGCCGGGCTTTTGCTCGTCCTCAGCCTTTTCACCCTGCGGACCGGGCGGATGTTGAAGGAGGGAAGATCCCTGAGAAAATTTGGGTTGAACCCCTGAAAATCCCAAAATTTCACGGGAAATCAAAGGAAAATCATAGGAAAAATGATCATTTTCACTGGAATTTCATAGGTGTTTGGTGAAATAATGGAACATCATCTATAAATAAGGATATCATAGGTATTTCATGGGGATATAGTGGGATATTCGTGGAACTCGGATGTTAATGGCATATTAATGGAATATGTCACCAACTTGATATTTTATCCCAGAAAACCACTGGTGGACTCATAGATTACCACTGGGTTAGTTGTGGATTATCACTACTATGGTGGGCAAAGTGAATCGACTTTCAAGGGAATGCAGAAAAGCTTCAATTTCGCGCGAATTTCATACTTTTCTAGTAGCATTTGGAAGCTTTCCTATCTCATTGATGATTTTAAGGGTTGCTGTTGTGTGTTGAATAGGAAACTGATCTAGAAAAGGCTGGGATTGGCCGAGCAAGTCCTCTTTGGCTCCCTTCTTCTTCTTGCCCACATCCACTCCATACTTCCTCAGGGATCCAGTTACAAGGCGGCTGGAAGATAACAGCTTTGAAGCCGGCGAAACTCTGTAAAATGTGCCAAGGAAATCATCCAAAAGCCTGCAGAGTAAGTCTTGATGTCTTCATCTTTTTTGAGTATCTAAATCCTGAAATTGAGTGAGTGATCTGTAGAATTTACAATACATCCCATACCAGATTTGAAGTTCAGGTCGGCTTGCCCCGAATGTTTCGCAGGTCGAACATGTCGGACAGATCCAGCCATGGGCGGTCATTTGCATCTTCAAGTGATACATTTGAATACTCTCAACTAGAATATCCTCTTGATTTCTTAATATATACAGTATATATGTATAATATTATATAATATATAATATATAATATAAAATATATAATATATAATATATAATATATAATATAAAATAAATAATATATAATATATAATATATAAACTATAATATATAATATATAATATATAATAATAATACTAATACTAATAATAATAATAATGTTATATATATATATGTATATTAATATATAATATGACATAATATGACATACCTTTACCTTCTCATTGACTCAATCTTCACATAGATTCTCGTCAGTGTATCTCCGATTCCATCCCATTACGCTGGTTGGTTTACAGCTATTCCTGCTATGGGTTAGTTCCCACCCTGAAATCAGGTGGCATGATCCGGTGCCATCACGTTTGATGGTTAAAAAGAATACACGATGGCTAACCGCTAACCAAACCTAATTTATCCATTCTATCCCAATGTTTACTGCTGAAACCAAGATTTGGTGGTACCATTTCCTATGTACAGTATGTATACATATATATATATACATACATATATACACATAGATGTATACATACGTATGTGGGAGGGGACTGTTGTGGCCGCCTCTTTTTTAACCAGTGTTGTCAAGTTTTTAATTAACCATGAACTATTTCACTGGGAAACCTACACAAAAAAGTCATGAATAACTCTTGAACCATTGTTTAGCCAAATGTCTTGCAATTTTATTTGGTAAGTTCCAGGCAGTCTTGACAAATGTCATGGGACACATATGAAATTATTTCGTGAGAAACATTATTTGCAGCCTTTACCAAGTTTTGAAAAGGATCTGAAACTTTAGCAGCAATGGCCCTCAGGTTCATTTCATCAAAGTATCTTTGGTTCAGTTAGTGGTCTGCCTAAAAGGTCTTGCATGTGTATATATACTTTTTCTTTCTAAGTTGTCATCCTTGAAAATCACAAATTTTCTTGCAGCAGCAGTTCAAAATCTCAAGCTTTCAGCTTTCCAGGCATGTCAAAATCATTCAAAATCTGTAGATTTTTGGTATGCAGTTTATATGCAGTTTATATGTAGTTTATATGCAATTTATATGCAGTTTTCAAAACTGCATATAAACTACATGTAGTTTGGTCAAAACTGCATATAAACTACATGTAGTTTTGAAACTGCATATAAACTGCATATAAACTTCATATAAATTTTATATGAAAATTCAAGGGCTGGCATGTGGTTTTTAAGGATTTTGATTATACATTTGGACTTGATTCCACTGATTCCCAAACCTTTGGACACCAATATGGACATATAAAATTCATAGTGTGATGCAATCAAAACTGGCAATGCCAGCAACTTGTTTCCTTTCCCAAAACTTTGAAACAATTGCAAGTGCAAAGGCCCAGTGCACTTGTTTACAAAAATGATTTGAAGAATCATAAAAGGTTATTTCTGTTCACAAGTAAGTAAGCATCTCTAAAGATCCAAGATCATCATATGTAAATCTCAAGTAAAGAGGTTTCAAGGAACCATAAAAGATTCTTTTGGCTCACAAGGAAACATCTGTACAGGCCCAGGATCATCCCCTACACATGTAAATCTCAAGTAAAGATGCTCTAATATACCACAAAAATCCAAGAACATCACATGTAAATCTCAAGTAAGGATGTTTTAGGCAGGACAATACAAGTTTCTGTTTGTGTTCGCAAGTAAACATCTGTACAGGTCCAAGAACATCACATGTAAATCTCAAGTCAAGAGGTTTTAAACAAAACAATAAACTTCTTTGTATTCACAAGTAAGCATTTGTACAGATCCAAGAGCATCACATGTAAATCTCAAGTAAGAATCTGTGGAGGAAACTGTCAGTGAACATATAGAGATTGAAGTGCTAGCTACTATTGGAAAAATGTATATGGAAAATCCAAAACTGTTTCAAGTATCCCCAGGTTTTTGCCTGCAACAAAGAAGCATGTTTCAAATGTTATGGATGCTTGGTCCCAAAATGGTAAAAAGACAATGATATGATCTTTACATGAACCTGCGCCTGGCATAAAGTACTCAGGCTTTGTTTGGAGGGTCACTTGATGGATCCTTAATTGAAGAAACTTCTATGTGCCAATCTTTACTTGTGGATTCAAACAATATGGTATATATTTGATGGATCCTTACTTGAGGAAACTTCCATGTGCTAATGCTTACTTGTGGATTCAAACGACATGGCCTATATTTGATGGATGAGCAGGGAATATAGAAAATTAGCTAACCACATGTTGGAAATTAGTAGTTAAATAGATCTGATGATCTTAGATTAACTTGCTTCAGTAGTCCAGACACAGAGAGAGCGGCGCTAAAAGCCAATAAAGGCAGATGACCAGAGAATATAGAAAATTAGCCAACCACATGCCATAGCTTCAGGAGTCCAGACACAGAGAGACCGGCGCTAAAAGCCAATAAAGGCAGATGACTAGGGAATATAGAAAATTAGCCAACCATATGTTAGAAAGTAGTAGTTAAATAGATCTGATGATCTTAGATTAACTTGCTTCAGGAGTCCAGACACAGAGAGAGCGGCGCTAAAAGCCAATAAAGGCAGATGACCAGAGAATATAGAAAATTAGCCAACCACATGTTAGTACTTAAATGTTAAATAGATCTGATGATCGTAGATTAGCTTGGATTAATCTGGATTAATCTGGATTAATCTGGGACCAAAAAAACCAAAAAAAACAAAAAAAACAAAAAAAACAAAAAAACCAATGTTTTGGAGACTAGTCTAAAGATAGCCCTGATCCAAGTAGTCCTGAAAACATTGTTTTTTTTGTTTTTTTTTGTTTTTTTTTTTTGTTTTTTTTGGTCCCAGATTAATCCAGATTAATCCTTGGGGCTTGAACAGATATCAACACACAAGTTATCGGAAGGGAATGTTGTGACACCCAAATCTCACAAGAACACAAGTTATCGGAAGGGAATGTTGTGACACCCAAATCTCACAAGAAGTATTCTTTATACATATTAAGTGTGAGATTTGGGCGGCCACAACAGTCCTTTCTGATGTATATATGTATATATGTATATATGTATATATATATACACATATGTATATGTGTATATATGTATATATATATATGTATATATATATATACATATGTATATATATATATGTATATATATACATATACATATGTATATATAATATTCATTAACATATAAACAATATACATATATACATATTCCACTATTTTGAAGCTTGAACCCCTAGAAATACTGACAACATTTTGAGAAAATAACCAGCAAAAACAGTTGGGTATGTAATCATTTATCACATATATATATATTTACATATATATATATCTATCTATCCATATTTTTAGTGATCTATCCAGTATGTCACAGCTAACGCTTCAAGCGTTGGGGATTCTCTTCCAGCAAATAAGTGTCTTCAAGTACCACTGCATGAAGGGATGGGCATCGATCTGCACCACGGTGTTCTTCAACAAGGTCTTCGTTCGGACCTCCAGTCTGCCCGGTGGGGCTTTAATGGGGACCATGAAAGAATCATGCTTGGAATAGCTAGGTCGTATCCAACAAAAAAATATGGAATGGGATATAAATGGGATAATAAACAAATGGGATGATGAACAAATGGGACAATATACAAGATTATTGGTAATTTAACGGGATAAGTATTGGATATAAACAAACCAATCGAGGATTTGCCAAACAAAAATGTGAGTTTTGTTTGCTGATTTAACCACAGAGCAACCCAAAAGAATTGAGCCTTTTCTATGTTTTTGGGGCTACGGTACTATACTATGTATATAGATTTGGGTTACAGTAATAGCCAACAAACACGGCGGTATATTTTGCGGGGATTTAATCGGCGTAGATGGTACGTATATAATTGGAGATAGAAACAACTTGATATGATATTTGCGTCTGAACATGGGGTATATCTATATATATATATACATCTGGTACAGTATACCCCAATGGAATTTTAGAAAGGAGCATGATGAACCGTTGGATGCTGGGATACCCCAAGTTTCAAACCCGGATGGAGTTGTAACCCTTAGCGAGTTTATCTGCAAGATGGGGTCCAAAGAAAGTGGAGATATCGGTGGACACACCAAAGCAACATTGAATTCGGCATGAGAGGACCCCATGTTGATCCTAATCGACTCCAATCGACTCCAATCGGCAACCCTCAGAATTGTGGGTAGCTATAGCTATCAACCTCTAAAAGCTTCTCTATTCTTGATGGAATTAAGAAACACATTGAGAAGGCGTTCGAATTTTGTTGTTTGTTACCCGGATTGTTTGTCGTTCTAAATATAACCAACCTTAGATTGCCGGAAAACAAATGCATCAAATCATGGCAACATATTCCCACATGGTCGTCTAGTCAATCCTGGATGGCTAGTTATTTGTTAGTTCATATTCCTATCAAAATGACAAAGAAATTAAACTAAAATCCCGATCATTACTCTTCATCCAGATGTGAGCAGAGTCAAAAAACTATTGGAAAATCCATGAACAAAATATATCAAAATATAACATGTATATATGTATATCATCCTTGGTCAATGGGGATGTCCTTGGTCAGGATTACACATCATGATAATGCCCAATTTCTTGGTCGGTTTTTACTGATGACCCCGTTTTTGAGGATCAACCAACTGTCCCCTACATCAGCCAAGCAAGGCACCAACTCGTTACTGGTGGCGTTGTAGACCACATCCAAAATCCTGACCTTCTTGGTCACATTCTCCTGAGTTAAGTGGAAGCCATGGACCATAGAAAGTTCGATGAGTTTTACCGTTTTTAAAGATCGTGTTTTTACATAGTTTTGTTAGTTTACCAGAGGGTATACCATTTTGTAAAAAGCGGATAAAGTGATTGGGCACCAAGTGCAGCTTTTACAGGCTCTAATTTTTTAATGCAATTTTTGGGGCTTAAGTCAAGTTTGAAGTGTAGTTTTTGGAGAACATTGGCCAGAGTTTGAGAAATAGTCAACGCAACACCTATCGCTGGGTCGGATTTTTTAAAACTACTAGTCGCCTACTTATTTTTTGTTGGCATTGCCACATCCCAGCCATGTCAACTTCAGAAGCACACCACGATTGGTTCTCGCTGAAGCTCGACCAAGAACTTAGATCTATTTGCATCCCAATCTATTTTTCATGTTCATGGGGACACACACACACATGTATATATGTATACATATATATATATATACAATTATATACCACTATAATAAATAACATACTATCATGCAAAAAAATGGCTGATACAACCATGAATCAATGGGATTTAGGAAATTGTATTGGGATATGATGCGAATTACACTACCCTCTGGTAATTTGACACTTTGCGAACTGGTCTAGATAACCCAATTATATAGTTGATTGGTTTTATCTATTAAAAACATGTGGCTTTCCGTACCAAACTGTTAAACTACCAAAGGGCAAATGATAACACCTTCCGTTTGCATTGGATTTCTGCCAGAAATGGTGATTTTCTGGTGATTTTCATGGGATTTCATGGCGATTTCATGGGATTTCACCCAATGACTTCCACTGATAGAACTGGATACACCCATCAGAAAAACCTCCAAAGAAAAACCTCCATAGCCAGGCCTTGCCCCCATCATTTCGCTGCAGTGTGAAGCAAAATCCGCGAGCAACGTCGTCGTCCCAGGTCCCAGACCAGTTGGTTAAAATCGGGATTCCATGGGATTCCCAGGTCGTGGCTTATGATAGTTGTAGTGGATAATAATCCCCAGTTGGTTAATATTGTTAATAATCATTATGACAATCCCCAAATCCCCAATTAATCCTGGTTGGTATAATCCCAAAGAATCAGCCACTGCTCATTTGGCGGCAAAGTCTCCATTTCGTCGAGGACAAACTCCAAGAATGTTCACGAACTGAATGGAGATTCTCATAATGGAATATCTTTGCACTCACTAATTTACCCCATCAACTACTAAATCATACATGCCCCAGAAAAAATATCAAACGATCATCATGTTCAACCATCATTCAACCATTAAAATTTCCACCATTCAATCATGATTCATCACCATTAAGCCACCATTAAAAACCAAGGCTCGGAGCCCCAAGCATAGTTGCCGCTGTCCAAGCGCAGGGCTCGATACTTCCTAGGGCTTTCACATTTTTTTTTCGAAATTTTGGCTGGGAACACCTTCTATAAATGGGAAAGTTTTCCATTGCCATCTTTGATTATCAGAAGATGCACACACACACAATTATTTGGTGTATATATATACACATGTATATCAGTAGTATATGAGTATGAGTCCTAAAGGGGGTAGCAAGGGATGTAACGAAGCCAGAACCTTGGCGACGAAGCCAGTACTTGTCCATTGACCCCTACGAAAAAAATCGGAGTCATTTTTTTTCACCTCTATTAATGCATACAATAAGCCGTTTTAGGCAAGGAAAAGAATGAAACTCACCGAGATTAAGCAGCAAATTCCAGAAAAAACATCCTTACTAATCCCAAGCCTGGTTTGGGAGTAAGAAATTAACCAATCTGAAATCACGAGTTCTGGTGCCACCATAAGGTTGCTGGAAATCAGATAGAAGGAAAACCCACACTTGAAATGAGTGTACCAAGAAGGAGATATAGCTGTGATAGAGTAGCCACAACCACTAAACATTATGGTGTTTGTACTGTGCCTGTCACAAAATTGTGTTCCGTGGCAAACATGAAGTGGAGGCAGCCAGACACCAGAAGATCATCTCAACTGGAAAGATCCAAAAGTTAATCTTGGGCTTTTGCGGGGCTACGAAACATGGCCAATCCTCCCCTGCAAGAAATTCACTTCTTAGCTGGTTTTTGTACTTACAAGTGTCTATCTCAGTCTATGAAAAACCGTTGTATCAAGTTGTATCCCAAGATTTTTTTCACTAGATCCCCACTTGGAGGATCATCCCAGTCAGTATATAACTGCTTCGTGTTTCTGGGCTTTTTGTTCACCCAATTTTCTGAATGGAATAAAATCCAGGAAACGGGAACTTACAGTACAAGCACCAGGCTTATGTGATCATCAGTTGGTAGTCTGGAAAACTAACATAGTTGTGGAAAATGGATGAACCTGGACCATTTATAGATGATGTCGCTGTTAAATCGTGATTTTCCACAGCTATGTTAGTTTACCAGATGGTAAGTGGTATGATCCTCCGAGCATAAAGGGCTCACCGCCGTGACACATGTTGCCACCACGGCAGCGCACGCTGCGCACGCGCTTGGCTCCCAACTTGCAAGGGGTCGCAGGACGACCCATCTCCTGAGCGGAGAGCTATCATGGCTGACCTTAAATAAACAGCAAGAATGTTATGAAAGTCTAGCACAAATGATATATATGTATATGTAATGTAATGTAATGTAATGTAATGTAATGTATGTATGTATGTACTATACTATAGTATACTAGCTTACTAGCCAGTGAAGAGTATATAGCTAGATTATTTTTGGCTACTTACCTAGGTATATACTTTTATACTTTTCACTGGTTAGTATAGTATCAAAACACATATCTGCACATTGATGGGTACCAAGCGATCCACAAAATAGGGTACCAAGGGATCAACAGATGAAACTCGGACTGGACAAACCTGTACATGCTCACAACACCTAGTACAGGACCTGATTCAAATGATAAACCTTTCATGTGTAAATCAACTTGGGTAGATTCAGCTCTTTTCTGGATGAGCGTCCCAAGCCACTCAAAAACTCAAACAACACTCGCGATTTCGACCGGAAAAATATGGTCCTTGAGGATCATCATCACACTGGTCATCACAAATCAGGTTCGAAACCACATTGACCAAGTGTTTGTCTATGATTTGTCATATACAGAACTGATTTGCTGGGTTTGATTTATCATAAGTATGATCTTGTCACAATCACTATGTCAGAACTCCCCTCGGTCTTTGTCTTTGCCCAGTGTCATACTTTCGCTTCTTGATTGAGGTCTTGCTGCGCCCGCCAGTCTTGTAGTGCTTGTGTCGACTATCGCGGCCAATTCCCATGGCGCCAACCTCGAAGCCGGGCTATGGTATCTGCAATTCGCCCACTGGGTTGTGACCTCACTTCTCAAGTCATTTTCGGGAATCTGTCCAAATGACCAGATTCCAAATCTTAATTTTTTTTAGAACATCTCAAAATCCATCTCAAATTACCACTAAGAAGCCATATTGGATATTATTTCATGGTGGCCATAATCCCCAATGAATTTCCATATTTTTCATGGTTAAATTATTTAAATTGCCATATTCAAGATATACTAAGATCATCTCCCCATATCTCCCCCAACTTCCCAGAGTTGGCGCCGAGCCGCAGCAAGGGATCCCGCACGGCCGTGAGGAATGAGGCCTTGAACCGAGCCTCTGTGGGAAGATCTTGGAGATCAACATATGATATGCAGAGATACCTGTATATATATATATACATTCTATATGTGATCAATCAAGCAATCAATCAATCAATCAATCAAATCAAATCAAATCAAGCAATATATATAATTATATATATACACACACACGTATATATAATTATATCTGATTATATATATATGACATTATATGATTATATATGTCAATATTTATGCATATTTCATTCTAGGACAGTCTAGACACGGATTGGATGTGATTCCCTTCCTACGCGCCATAATCACATATGCTTCAATGAAAACCTAGACCTCACCAATGACAAGTATGGCATAGAGAGATACCATTAATGGTTCAATGAATCGAACCGTCTCGTCCATATATACTAATTGTGGATTAATGCGGGATGTTTGAAAAGGTCGCAAAGGTCGCATGCTCTCAATCGATCATGCAGCCTCCAAACAGCCTCTAAGCATCTGAGAAAGTGTCTCAGACTGGCTAACATGCCTGATTCATGGTGATTATCATGCGAACTGTCAAACATTGTTGGCTTGGGATATCTTGGGATTAAGAAATTGGATACCATAATATCCATTGGGAAGTGGATGTCATTGGTAAGTGGTTTCACTGGATAATATCCATTGGTGGATTATTGGGAAGATTCACAGCTTGGCAAAGCCTTTACCCTCTGGTAAACTTACATAGCTATGGAAAGATCCACCATTTTCAATGGGAAAATCCACTATTTCTATGGTCATTTTCAATAGCTATTTTGACATAACCAAAGGGTACCAAAGTCAAGCATCCGTTGCTTGAACCATTCCCAATAGTCGCGGCGGAACAATTTTTCCCACGTGCCACCGAGCTCGGGCCGATGCGGCCATCGTTGCTGCGACAAAATCAGAACTTTAACTCGTGGGGGTACCTGGGCAATGGAAACTTCCCATGGTGAAATGGGCAATCGAATGGGAAAACATGGGAAACCTCATTTATAAATACATGGGGAAAAACATCATTTAAAGAAACGGGAAAAACATCATTCAACAAGAAAAACATGCAACACACTTGCATTAAAACATCCTGAAGCAGTCGCCAGGTTTTGTAAGTGATACAACTAGCTGAGTGAATCAGAACTCTGTTGGTTCCCTATTGCTAAGCCAAAATCTGCGGGTCCAAGCAGAAAAACTGAAAGCCCTTCGGTAGTCAAACATGGCTGGGCAATCCCCGAGCTAAATCGAGGTTTCAACGGGAAATTCATTGATCAATGGAGCACTTTCCAGCAGGCCATGTTTGACTATCGGAGGTTACACCATGCTGTCAGGTACATGTTGGCAGACAGGCTGAAGCGGGACTTCAGATAGCTCTTCACATCCTCAGCGGGGGTCAGCTGGCAATGGAAAATATCAGCATGAAAGTCGATCCAGCTACCTTGACCCTTAATTATATCGTTTGCAGTTTCTGGCTCGAGTTTGTGCACATTGGGATTGGTCAAAGCTCCTAAGCATGGAAAACCCTGGGGGATCGATCATTCCATTAGAATCCTAATTGCATGAAAATGCTTGAACATGGAGATATGCTACCCATAAAGAGCAAAATTGCAAGCTAGTTTGATGTGAAAACCAGGCTGATTGTGATCACCAGGGGTTGCATCCCTGGCCATATTCAATTCAGTCGGAACTTGTTACTCTCAGGCTGGGTATGGGGTCGAAAGTTGGGTATCTCATGGCACCCGAACGGCATTTAAGTGATCCCCAGGCCCCATTGGTCCGATGTCAACATGCAAAATGCGATTCGTCCTACATTGAAAGTCAATGGAGCTGCCATATTCAGCCGAGTTTCATTGCCGAGACCCTTGATGATTGCATCATCGGTCTTCTTCTGGCCGTCCTTCTTCTCCTGTGGCAACACCTTCTTGGGTGCCTCAGCGGCAAAGAACTTCTCCTGACCCTTCAGGCCCTTCTTGCCAGTCTTCTCCTGGGAAAAGTACGAATCTGTGATGGACTTGAAGTCAGCACCACCAAGATCCACCTTGGTGCTAGTGGCGATGCAATATCGCTGGTTCACTCGCTTCAATGGCACACCATTGAGGGCAAAGGGACCTGTGACCAAGAGCAGGCCACTCTCCAACTGCTTCAAGAAAACAACGCGCTTTCCTCGGAACTTGCTGGCCAGCAGGATCAGGATTTGACCAGGCTGGATGTTCTTGCGCAACTTTGGGGCCTTCTTCTCAACGGTTGACTTCACCTTCTTCACAGTCTTCCTTGGTGAAACAACACAATGGAAAGGTGGAACTGAACCGCGCTGGCTTCAAACAATCTGAGTCCCCTGAATTACTGTAGAATGTTTTTGAGTTCTCAACACTGTTTTCCATCCGACAAGGGCAATTGCGTATCACTCCCTCTCCCATTCTCTGCAGCGTTGAAGCTGGCAGTTCAAAGCTTATAGACACTTTGAGCACATAGAATCATAGAATCCGACATTCTACAACGCAAAGCAAAGCAATTCATATGTGTATGAGGAGATGTATGTATATATATATACACGTCTGATTGATTGTGATTGTATACGTCCGCTTGTTGCTTGAAGAAATCAATGCGCCGTACAGTCATTACACGCTTTGCTGGCAAGTCTTGAAAGAATCATGGTGAACATCCTGCAGAGTGGACAACCTTGAAATCATTGAAATGTCCATAGCTATTGGTTAAAATATAAGCACTGGTTGAAATCCCTCATCTTGACTTCTAGTGATCATATCTCAACCTTCAGTAGAACACTTTCCATATCTTTGGTCCTTCAGCAACCCCAAATATCAATGAGGTCATTCTATACCCCATTGAACTGGTGACAACGATCCCCCCAAAGTTTGGGGACTTGTTTCACTCCATCGTTGAATCATAGAAAGTGACTTCGGGTCCTTCATAGTACTTATCCCGATGTGTAATATGTTTCATAGCTAAAAGTCCCCTTTGATAAAAACTTATATCTCCATTTCCAGTGAAAACAACATATATGTTTCGACAAAACCCATATGTTTCAACCCATTTCCACCAATCATTCTCCATTGACAGTGGGATATTTTCATGATATACCCTCATTTTCATTCATTTTTTAAGCATGAATCATCACAGCTTCGGACCCATCTCCATCTCTCGCCACGCCGAGTTGCTTGTTGCAGATCTTCTTCTGCCGACTTCGCTGCTGACCTGCCTGACCCATGGCTGTCGCGAGGCTGTCGGTGAAGGGTGGGAAAGTCCGACTGAACCAAAGCGACGAGGCGGGCCGAGGTGGTGCACCTTGCAATAGAGGGCAGCCCAAAAGTCGGGTCTATCTATTCTATTTATCTAATCTATTGATCTATTGATCTATCTATTCTATTGATCTATTGATCTATTTATCTATTTATCAATCAATCCATCCATATACATAGACTACTATCCCCCAAACTGTCAGACAACGACCCTGCCATGAGTTGGAGTTGGAAGACTGGAGTCGTCTGAAAAGTGGCTATTCTTGGGGTCTATGTTAGTTGAGGAGATGGCATTGCATGATATTGCATGTGTTTATATATATATATATGTATACATGTATGTATAAATATATATATATATGTGCACACATATATATATAGCTATGTATGTATGTATATATATATATTTATGTACTTCCATTATTATGGCTGTCATAGAGGATTTAACCGACCAGGTATGATATAACTCGGATATGGCACGTTAAAACCAAGTGGACTTATGGTTCATTTTCCTCGATCAAAAGGAATGGACAAATCGTGTCACGCACACATTTTCTGATTCTAGTCATAGTACACATCGTATCAATGGGAATTCCAGGATCCTAAAATGGAGGTACTGGTATATTTTGTGGGGATATTCCCGTATATTTGGCCATTGATAGTACCATGCCTGCCCTATTTCCGTACCAGCCCTCGCCGAATCCGGATGGTTCATCCTTTTCTCACCGTGCCGTGTGCCGTTCTGCCAGCGATGCTATGCTCAGAATTTCAGCTCGTGGGGGTACATGTTGGCCGACAGCGAAAAGCGAGACCTGCATCGAAAAAAAATCCGTTTCAAGGTGGCGGATTTTGTAGAAGCCACCAATTCAGACCTCCCAAACGAAGTACATGTAAACCACACTATGTGTGTATCTTTATATATTTATATTATATATATATATATATTCATATTATGTTTAGACTAAGACCATGTTGTTCACATTTCCTAAAGAAAGATGGGATACTCATAAATCACAATCCTTGGTTAAGGAAACGCACAAACGAGCTATACAAACGAAGGCACTGCTTTGTGAAAGTATGCTGTGATTCATCCCAGAAACACCTGCAGGCAAAGAAGTCTAAATCCCAGGCTTGTAGCGGCAACTGAGGCTCCCCATTCTCATCATTCTCGGACATTTAAATCCCAAGTCTTTTAATGACAGCCCGGAGATTTTCAGTGTTCGTCATCTTGTTGGAGACCAAATTGGGGTTTTGCTCAGGTGGAGAGCAAAGGTTATATAAGGTTATGATATTTCCAGAATCCCCCATTGATCTTAAACAAAAAATAAAAGCTAGTATAGCAAACTAGAATCACATCACTTTTCGTTGATGGAGGATGATGGAAGTTTCTAATCCATGGGTCCCCCAAATAATATCCTGAACAACCATCACTTAGTATTGAACCAACCATGGTCTTTAAGAAAAAGCCATGGGTTATATCCTCGCTTTCACCTGGCGTGCCAAGCTACTTCAAGTAGCTCTTCATATCCTGAGCCGTTCTACCAATGGGAATCTCCTATAGAGATAGAAAAACACATTTACCACCATTTCATACCAGTCACCACTACTTTAGAATATGTATATATGATATATATGATATATATGATATATATGATATATATGATATATATGATATATATGATATATATGATATATATGATATATATGATATATATGATATATATGATATATATATGATATATATGATATATATGATATATATATATATGATATATATGATATATATATATATGATATATATGATATATATGATATATATATATATATAATATATGACATATATGATATATATGATATATATAATACATATGACATATATGATATATATGATATACATATGTCATTATATTTCAACTTTCCACATCTTTTCGGGCGAGTAGTCCAAGGCCGGGAGGGTCAGCACCAGCTGTGACTGGTTGGTGGGCACACACGGCTTGGTCTGAAAAAGAAAAATTCGCCGCTTTCCCTACAAAATCTGCTGCTTTGGGGTTTCTAAGTCTACTCCGTTCTTCATGGATCGATGGATTTGGCATCATGAAGGGACAGCATGAAGATATTCTGAATATCGTACCACATCGTACCCTCCTTTGTAGTGAGGCAGTTTACAACCACCTTACTTGCGACCAAGGGTCATTGCCGAGACCCTTGATGATTGCATCATCGGTCTTCTTCTGGCCGTCCTTCTTCTCCTGTGGCAACACCTTCTTGGGTGCCTCAGCGGCAAAGAACTTCTCCTGACCCTTCAGGCCCTTCTTGCCAGTCTTCTCCTGGGAAAAGTACGAATCTGTGATGGACTTGAAGTCAGCACCACCAAGATCCACCTTGGTGCTAGTGGCGATGCAATATCGCTGGTTCACTCGCTTCAATGGCACACCATTGAGGGCAAAGGGACCTGTGACCAAGAGCAGGCCACTCTCCAACTGCTTCAAGAAAACAACGCGCTTTCCTCGGAACTTGCTGGCCAGCAGGATCAGGATTTGACCAGGCTGGATGTTCTTGCGCAACTTTGGGGCCTTCTTCTCAACGGTTGACTTCACCTTCTTCACAGTCTTCCTCAGTTTGCAATTTACAAGACAATGGGCAAGAGCACTGAACCGCACTTGCTGGAGCTCAGATGCATTCTGTTTATCCCCTTTGAGATAAACAGAATGCATCTGAGCCCCTTTGACAATTGTTCTCAAACAGTTTCTACCCCTATCGAGATCAACTCATACCAGTCATGCCCACTCAGAGATGGCACACCATGGCATAGTGTCAGCTGGAAGTTCAGCAAACTATACTGACCTAATGACCTTCCAGGGTGGTTAAAAGCCATAAAAACAACTATACTGACATTATGACATTAAAACCGCTGAAATGAGGATACCAATTCTTTGGGGACAGCTGGAGCATCACGTGTGTTCAGCTCACAACGCTTTCCTACGCCCTGTGAAGGTTACATGGGAGATCCCCAAATCATCCAGTTGTCAGATCAGCTTAGTATTGAAACAACATGAAACAACCATGGCGACGACTGGGGATCCCCCATTTTAAGCAATCCCCATATGGGATATATGGGATTAATGAGATAATGGTTACCACGAAAGACCAACAACATCGGGTTTTCTGACCCGTCTCCATACGGGACACCCCTGAAGATTTTCATCAACATAGTTCACCCACTTTGGTAGCCATAAATGGAACATAAATCAAAGGTTGGAAGCAGGACGCATCTCCATCTTGCGCCGAGTTGCTTGTTGCAGATCTTCTTCTGCCTGCTTCGTTGCTGACCCGCCTGACCCATGGCTGCCTTGGCTCGGCTGCCTACCACACGACACGGCACTGAAACTGCCACCGCTTGCGCCGAAAGAATGCAGTGACACATGGATTCCATGGTCCAGTTACATGGGATGGCGTGGTCCCAATATGAAGTATATGAACCTGGGAATCTACAGAATCGAGATTAGGCCTACTCAACATTTCCGTTTTCCATTCTTAATGATCTTAATGGCATTTTTCATCCAGCTTTTGACCATCTTTTCATGATCCATTGGCGCACGGGGTGACCGACCTGGACCTAACAAAGTGACCGACGGTCAATACAGCCCTGGGCTTTTTTTTAATGGGATACCATTTTTACTGCCAAAAAAAAAACAGGGTCAACATTAGTCCAGGATTAAGTTGACATGATTCTCATCTTCTTGTGTGAAGGTATTTGTCGATATTTGTCGGTATTCCTATAGATCAATATCATTTTGGGTGCGGACTCTCCTTTTCCCATCCGCATTGCTCTCGGCAAGATCTTTGCCTTTTCAAAGGCACACATTTTGGACACCACTTACAGAAAACATGCTGAGAAATCAGTGGTGAATTATCATGAATTATCTATATATGCGCGTGTCAATGGGGTTATACAGTATACATACTATACCCCGCAAATGGTCCATCAGACTATCCCTTTTGTTGGGGCCGAGTTCGACCATGATCCCGGCTCTAAACCTCCCTGGAGATAGAATCATAGACCATTGCCTTCAGATCAACCTTGATGGCTGATCTAAAATTCTGGGTCCAAAACATCCAAAACCTATTGCTGCTGGGAGGTCTGAAATTTGACACACCCAGCACCCAAAACACATCATGACTTTGCCATGGTGTCTCGGCGGCTATCGACTGCAACTGGGAGTGCACTGAAAGGCCAAATGCTTGGTCCATTCTTTGATACCCCACTGCTTCCGATGAGTCAAGAGGTTCGCCTTTTGGCGATTCCAAATTGGTCATCGGTAGGATTTGAATTTCTACCCAAATGGTATCCCACATTTGAGCGAGCTATCCACCATTGTTGCCCATGTTTTCTGCCCATGTTTCGTCAGTTCCTTTCGCTTATGAATCCCTACGTATTGCGTCTTGAGCCATGCTCCGATTTGGGGATGTGACCCAAACTGATGGAGATATACCAAGACGGAGACTCTGACCAAACATGCGATCCAGCAAATAAATGAGCATACAATTGGACTATATCGGATAGAACCAAAATGGACATAATATATATATATAATTATGTAATATTATGTATATAAATAATATATATATATATGATTATATGTGTATGTATGTAAGTAGCAATGCTTGGGGGATCTGGAGAATATGGCGATAATCGCGGTGTCTAAACGATGATTTTGGCCAGTCATGGGCACGCCACTCCTCAACCGGAAAGTGCCTGATGCGGCCAGAACATGATTGGGTAAGAACGGAACTTAGACAGGAAAACCATGTCTTTTTTTGCGCGTTTTGGGGATTCGTGTTTTACTGTACATTGTCTTACCATCAAAGAGATAGAAATTTGGAATTTTTCCTGTGCACCCTTCAACCACTTGCCAGGATATCACAAACGTGCTTGAAACTTTAAACCACCAAAATACATAGGTAGGCTATACACTTGTCCCTGGCGCGGCGGATTCCATACTTAACCCAGATAAGGCATGATGAAACTGTATCACTTCTCCATCACCTACACCCTCTAGATCTAAAATGAAAACTGCTGTAAAACTGCCCCAAAACATGTTTTTTACTTTTGGACATAGAAATCAGTTGGTACCTTGATGCTAAATCTGCTAGGACGGACTTCTCCCTTTGGGGACCAGCATCCCAAATAGCCACCAACCCTGTTGGAGAACTCCACCATTTGTGGCTCTGTTGGTATTGGTATCCCAACGGCTTGTCCCTTATGCATTTCCGTTGGTTCTAGCGCTGTTTGCAACAACTAAACTTTGTATAGGTCAAAAAGGTTAACTTTGCAGGCGAAATACAATCAAAGATTTTGTTCTTTGGCCAAAACCGGTTTTCTCTTCATATTTCCGCGAACAGAATCTTATCTTTCTTTTGCTCAACATTTCTCGTTTTTATATGTTTTCGTGATAGCTATCCAGGCTATCCACCTCAGTTTCTCCAAACAGCACAAAAACACCCAATTTCCATGGTTTAAACCCAACTCTTCCTCATTGAACCTAGCATTTTGACCGCCATCCCCATCCCGCAGCCACCCTACGATGGGGCCCTACCCTACCCGTGCCTTTGCCGGAATGGGCCCTGCGAAGAAGCCATCCAACAACTCCGCAAAGCCGTCCGTGTCGGTCACAGCCTGGGAGGTTTGCAGCCAAATGGGGCTAGGTTCTATATGGATTTTATATGGGACCAACCAACAATTGGAAGATCAACCATCTGACAAACATACTATTAAAAAAAATCTACATGTCGCTTTTGTTGGGAATTTGATGGAATTTCTACAGGATTGTTGACATCATGCAACTGTACATTGTTCCTTCAAACAATTCTAGGTTTCAAACCATGGAGGGTATGCTTTTCGTGGTCTCTAGCCACGATCCAGGGACCAGCAAAGGGCCGACTCATGTGAAACTCTGCTAGCTGCTATTGGGTCAGTTCTCTGGTGCTCTCAAGCCATAGTATTCAGGTATGATATGAGTATGACTTACGAAAATGATTCTTTCGGGTTAAAGATGTTTAACGTATCTTAAAGTTATATTACCAAACAAAGAAATTCGAAACACAGAGATACTATTCGCACGACAGCCATGGGTGTCCCCACTGGCTCCAAGCAAAAGACGCTGACGGGTGAAGCATGCGGCATGCCTTGGGTAGCATTTTCACCAGAGTTGGAGCTGTGTTGGACGTCGCTTCACGTTGGATCGTTACACATGATACTAGTGGTACCCTCTGGTAAACATAGCTATGAAAAATCACAATGTTTCATAGGCAAATCAACTATAAATTGAAATGGGTAAACTAACACAGCTATGAACAATCACAATGTTTCATAGGCAAATCAACTATAAATGGTCCATCTTCCATAGATATGTTAAATTACCAGAGGGTATGTGATGGAAGAAATAACACATCAAACTATTGAGAGATATTGAGAAGCCCTCGAAATGCCGTAAGCCCCATGAAACAATTTTCACACATTTGCATCTGCAGCATCTTCCTCTTGAAATGCCCTCTTTGTGGCCTTAATTTGCTCATATAAATGCCTGAAAGTCAAGGTACCGGGTACCCGAGACAATTTTTTTATTGTGTGTTGCTCAGGATCGCAAGTCAATCTCTTGCTTGGAGGGTAAGAGACATTCCCACCCTTTGTTGTTTCACTGAATCTCCACATTTCTTCATATCTTATATGCCCATGATATACCCATACCTTGGGGGATTCACCCCGAAGGTGACTGGTTGTGGTTGGTGGTTAAGATGACTGCCCTCAATAAGTGATCTCATGTGATGATATGTCACCTAGCTGGGGTTTGATGGTTCTGCACGATTTCGGCAAAGGTGCCATAGTCCCAACGTTCGCCATTCTCGTCTTCGAGGTGATTCTGGCACCCCAAACATCGTGGGAAACGCTGAGAAACGTGACCATTTATGGTGAGCTACAAGGGGAAATCTGACAATCAAATATGCTTTCAAATTCCTACATATCTGGGCAAATCGCGATAATTTCGAAACCCCAAATATGTAATTTTGGAAACGACTCACCATCATTTATGGTGAGGTTGTTGTGACGTGGCAAAACGTCTTGGTTTCAGGATCATTTGGGCCAACATTTGGCAAGCATGGTCCAAATGCCTGGTATTTCTTGGAAACAGTAGTATTTTATATTTTGATACATCGCACATATTTATCCATAAATTTCAGCAATGTTATTTACCATGTTTTACCATTCACACAATTCCAAGACATTGGTCTGGAAGGAGCCAAAATGCGTCCGTTTTTCTGTGCCAAAAATGGAATGGCACACGAATGTGCTAGACACGTAATTGGTCTATTGATGGTATTGTGGAATGGTATACTAGACAACTATGAAATAACTATATATATATACATATATATATATATATTACACACGCATGTATATATATATATACACGTATATATACACGTATAGATTACATATTGGAATTCAAGCCCATAACCAATCATACTCAATTACCATCAATTTCAATCCTTGGGTGCCATGAATTTCTACCGTCTCTTCTGCAAGTCTCCTTGGGCTGCGAATTTCCCCTGTAAAAATAACCATGGCAGAAGCCGAGGCGTTCAGAACGCCTCGCAGAACTTTCTGGAGTGCAAGAGCCCAACCAAACGGGCTAGAGCCTGGGGATTCAACGAACCCATGGTGAGATTATATTGAATGCAAATGTGGATGTAAATTAAACCTTACATGCTGGGATTTCATGGGATACTTTTGTAGTGGATGTTCATGAGACACAACAAACAAAAAAAGGGGGTTGTCCAACACAAATATGGGGACAAAACGAACCAAAAAAATCAGAGTTGCGCAAGAAGCAATGGGGGTACGATGAGATATAATGGAACATTTTAACCATCCCGGTCCAAAAACATACGGATTAACTAAACATGATTAGACATGATTAGACCAAGCTTTTGTTTGATAATGTTTGATATAACGGGATACATGGGATACAAAGTATGCAGGAGATATAACATGATAACACTATTTTTGTCTAATGGGAGATGGGCCGAATGGAAGCCATCTTTTCAGAGACACCCGAATCGCTAGGGCAAGGGGAGGGCGCAGTGAATCCAAGACATGGCTCCAAGATGACACGTGTGCGATGCCAAAACGATAGGGTTCTGATTCTTTCTATGATATTTTTTTTCCTTATTTTTTCTTGCTGGCATTGCTTTTGTTGGCATGATTTTTGAGACCCAATTGAGAGGCATGTTCAGCATGTTGCTCTTGCTGTCGCTTTTCCATGGTCTTTTCGTCATAGGGGTGCGTAACTTGCGTTTGCAATGCTTCTCAGCCTTATTTGTGCACAAGGCATTTCCGCTTTGCGAAACGCATCAATGACTATACGCGGACAACTGGGTTCGAGGATACTTAACATCTTGTAATCGGGAGTTTCAACCTCGTTGATATGGTCTGTTATAACACTCGATGTATAAGCGGGGTTACAACTTGGACAACTCAAGCTTTAAACCCACTTCTGACTGACTTCAAGTAGCAGTAGTAGGAACTGCACTGGCCATGTTGGGAATAGACACCAAGGGAAACAATTGGAAAGCCCAGCACCAAAGGGCTTGACGACTTGAAACTGATAAGCACCCATACCAACATAGAAGTCAATTAGGATCATTGCCCAATTTGATTGGCTGTACATGGCTAAGCACCTTTCCACATTTGCGTTTGGTAAAAAAGCATATTATAGCATCATTTTGGATGCATAACTGCATAATCATATCCATGTTCCACAATCATATCCATATTCTTACTCATGGACGCCCCCTATCTCTATTGGTTCAACTCATAGTTTCAAGCAGATTCGATGTCCAACTAGCCACCAGCCATGTTGCCCATGTTGCCCAGGGACCTCCAAGAACTCCACAAAAAGAAGATGTAACGAACCTCACTCCGTGCGGCCAGTGTGTCAACTTAGGTGTCTCTGAAAGTGGCTGATACCCATAATTCATGGTATTTCTTCGATAGGAAAGATATTGAGGTTTCCTGAAATAGGGGTACCCCCGATCATCATCCATCTATAGATGGTATTTTCCATGAAATCAACCATCCAGCTATGGGGGTACCCCCATTTATAGAATATGTCATCCAACCACGAGATGGAAATGGAGCCCTTCCGCAACGCTGTGATTCCGCCACTGGGCGTTTGGGCTTTTCCCACGATCCAGCAACTAGCAGTGTCACACCAGAACATCTTCTGTTTTTTTAGCATGTTTGGTATATTTTGGTATCATATCTGGTAAAGCCACCATTAGGTAAAGTCACCATTAAAATCTGGTAAAAAATCACCATTAAATCATACTTTAAACATTGTTAACCTTGCTTTTTGCCACCATCCTTCCTGGTGCCAGTAAGCCAAATCGTGCGTCAGGTGCCCGGACGCACATGCGCCAACTCTTCCACTTGCGTCATGGCTGAAGCTTGCCAGGCCCAGACCTGCGAAACCCCAGGGATTTCACCAAAACCCATGGAGTTCACCATGGGATTTTAACATTTTTACCGGTCCAAAAAGGGTTCAAATCATTCATGAAATCATAGTGAAATGGAAAAACGAGGTGATTTTAATCCAGTTTTTAATGGTAGCGATTTTACCATGATTTCACCAAGAGGATCCAGTATCGTCGACTCGACTCTTGGGGTATGACTGATGCCAATCTTTCCGTCGAGCCCAATCTTTCCGTCGAGCTTGCTGCGGATTCAACCATGAAAACTAAGGATGTTATCCATCAATAAAGACAAGTTGTCTACCTATCAATAAATCGGGTTCAATACATATAAATGCGGTTGTTGAACCAACAAAAACGGGGGGGATTTTGCTATCAGTGGGCAGGAACTGAACCAAGAGTGAAAGTGTCTTTAAACCACAAAAATATAACACCATTTTCACCAATCATGGGATATTCATGGATATTTCCAAATACAGTAAGCATCCCTATGACCTTTGGACATCTTTGGACAAGCTTAGCAATCGACATTGCAAGGTTGTGGGCTGGCCAAACCCGGGTCACCCTTGGTTGGTGAATCCCTTGCTGGGGTTGCTGGGGTTGCTCCCCAATTTTTTCAAAATTCCAAGATCATTCCATCAAATTCCATCAAATTCCATCATTCTCTACGAATTACCCTCTGGTAATTTGTTACATAGCTATTGAAAATGACCATTTACAGTGAGTTTTCCCATTAAACATGGTGATTTTCCATAGTTTTTTGTATGTTTACCAGGCCGGGTATCCCCAAAAAATCACAATTTTGGGTGAAATCCACATTGACCTCGGATTCTTCCCACGAGCCCGGCAGAAACTATCCCGAAATCGGCTCGGCCGACCCGATCCCAGGCGTTCATCTGTTGGGCGTCGCTGTCCAATTCAGTGCCACTGCATGGGAAGATCTGGCCGCGGTGCTGCACTTTGGGGGGATGATGACATGACAAAAAAGCACATTTTTTAATGGGGCTTGGTATTTTGCTTGAATTTCCATGAATTTCAAGATTGTAAGGAAAATCACGCCTTGTTGAGTCTTTGATCACTGGACTTAAGATGGATTGAGGATAACTCCAGGATAATGCCTCTCGGAAGTGTCCTGCGCAACCCTATGCCCTATGCCTCCATGCAGTCCAACATGCGAAACCACTCCTGGCGAATATTTTTTTGTCACTCCTCATGGTAAATGAACATCAGGTTGGCAAAGATCATAGTCCAGGAAAAATATGGTCATTCCAACGGAAGTTGGCAAAAACAGGAAATGAGACCGTAGTTTCGTGGCTTTTCACAAAACGAACATGCATGATCAGAAAAAAAAAACTTTCTAAGATGGGTTATGATTGCAGCCCCTCGGCTGCAAACCGTGAAGTGGTGACAAACTTCAGTTGTCGATGATCTTTCCTGGGAACATTGGCCTCGGGATGCTCCAAACCCAGGGAGCCAACTTTGCGGCGATTTTTGATGATTTTGGCAGATCCGAGTTCTACTTCCGAGTTGTCCCCGGGTGATCAAACATCCCATGTGTAAAAATATCAAACACCCAAAAATGATGATAGTCTGGTCATGGCCACTGCCTTGTTGTTGTTGTTGTTGTTGGTGGTGGTGGTGGTGGTGGTGGTTGCCTCCCAACGGCATCTCCGGCATCCCGCCGCTCCTCTGGCGTCAAAAAAGGTCGTCCTTCTGCGAAGGTCTTGAACAAAGGATCCACCACGGCCTTGTTTCGGAGAACGCCGCGACACGGCAGGGCCGTGTCGGGCTCGGCTTAAAGCGACATAAACCACGTGGGCTAAACGGCTAAACATGGTGAATGTAAAAACCACCCCAAAAGCACCAGATTTTCAAATATAAAAAATGATCAATCATAAGATTCCTTGGTGCACTTGAGAACCCCATTTTCAGAGAAACTCAGAAGTGAAATGGAGCCATCATAATTGGTAGTTTCTAGAGATGGAAGAACAAATGGTACCTTTTTCTGCTAAGCCACGCTACCTGTGTGAGAACGCTGAAGATACCGCACGTTTGGCGTTCACAGTTTAGATCATGTTCGTATGGTATGCTTTTTGTCGGATTAGTAAGTTGCCAGTAATTGGCTACACATGGATTCTCATATCTCATACTCATAACCATGTAATTTCACACCAACAAGATCTAGTATTCAAAGTCTACATTTCATACCAAGATCCGGTATTCAAAATCAGGTATAAAAAGTCGATATGGATAGCTATCCCCATTATCCATGTGATATATATATATACATATATAATATATAATATATAAAATATAATATATATATATACATAATATATGTATATATATATATAATTCTTAAATAGAATATGATCTATCCGATCCCCATTTCAAACGTCTCCCTGCCAGGCAAGGCCTGCATGTGTTTTCGAAAGACACCTTCCACCGTCTGCGTGTGAAGCACCGACTCTCGCCATTGCCTCGCTGGACTATGCGGTGGATTGGCCAAAGCAAAGCCAGGATCGGTGCGTGAAAAGACATCCAGATGTTTTAACCATATAACAGTGTACATAGCATATTATATGATATTATAGTGTTTGTTGATTTTGTTCTAGATTAATATTGATTATGGCGGATCATAAAATAGCCAGGAGATATGACTTGCAAAGGCTTGAAGCAAGATTTTCAAGTCATCCGTATTCATCCGTGACATCCCAATCGACTACCAGTTGACAAGGCACACGCAACGAAGATTGTTCTTCATGGGCGCATAGGGGTACCTGCATCCGCCATCAATGGCTTCAAACACAGAGTTGTTGTTGTTTTTTCATTTGTTTCTTAACGGCTTGAAGATCCCTTTCATCAGGAAGTTGAATGAAGTTGAACCCGTCGAAACATGGAAACTCAGGTTGAAAACCCTTGCACATAACTTGCTAAAAGGATACAAAAGGCAGGATAAGATTGTGACACGAGCCGAAGATGATCTGCCCATTGGTTGCCAAAGATGTTCCTTGCAAACTATCCAACCATATCCAACCTTTACCAGACTATGGGATCATCCCCCAGGAGCACATGAGGTGCTTGGCAAAGATGTACTGCAAGGCTTTCTTCACCTGCTCCGTCTTGTTATTGAAGCGTCCCTGCCCGGCACGTGGCACGTGGCACATTTTGTCGGTTCCCGAAAAGGGGCAACCCATCCATGGCATGACGATGATACGATGCACCTTGAGGCCGCGTCCGCTGTTGCCACGTGCAAAGCCTAAACTGGAGAGTTTCAGGACCTCGAGGACTACCCTCTGGTAATTTAACATAGCTATTGAAAATGGCCATTTATACTGAGTTTTCCCATTAAAAATGGTGATTTTCCATAGTTATGTTAAATTACCAGAGGGTATGTCTATGATTTCGAGCTATTCGGCTATTCCACTTTTTTTTTATTTTTTTTCCATGTCTTGTCTTCAAAAGGAATCGCCCTGGGTCTTTACCAGTGAACATGTTGCTCAAGACCTGGGCTGCAATCGATCTACCAATGCTTCACCATATATTTCGATGGGAAATTAAAGTATTACCCTATGGACTATGGAACATGAATATATTACCACATGTTTAAAATCCTTCGATATCGGTTATCGAACATGTCCCATTGAACACGGGTTTCTTCGTTCTCCTTGGCGCCCAAACGAATGGCCAGCCGCACCAACAGCCTAAGCGGAACCCAAGGCCACAAGGCCTGACTTATCACGTGGCTTCCCTGCAAAAAAAGGCCTATCTGCCCAAGATTCTCCAATTCTCTATCGGGAAAGTTAGGTTTCAAGATTTTACGCCTTCTAAGCCATCCATTTTTCAGGCTTGTATGATGTTCTATGGCTTTCCCCCAGGACTTTCACCAAAGCTAGCTATTCCATGTCATTCCACTGGGCGCCCAGGCCCAAAGAAACCATGGCGGTGGATGAGGCGCCCCTGTCGGATTGATCAATGCAATGTCTGCAATGTTTATAAAATAGACGTTAATAATGTAAATAATATGGGTAACACAATAATAAACCACCCAAATGTGTTATAATAGATAAAATAAATATGGGTAATAGACATAACACATAATAAATAGACAACTCTGCAATTATAATATGGGTAACACAAGAATCAACCACCCATTTGGGAATGGTTTATAACTCAATGTATTTATCTTATGAAAATCAATTCTGAACATATTGTCACAGAATAAAACAAGACTGTTTGTGTCTTAATGTTCCCCTCTCTCTTTCTGGTACAATGGAAACATATTGCACCAACAAACTGTCTTCTATCTGGATAGATGATCAATAAATATCAATACCGAAAATCACCATTTTTGATGGGAAAATCCACTATAAATAGCCATTTTCCATTGCTATGTCAGCTATTACCAGAGGGTAATTCACCTGAAAACCTTCGCGTTGCCGGGAAGTTTCCGTGATGAATTTCCCCTCCGTTTTTCCCATCATTCCAACCGTCGTCAGCCTCGGTGCGATAAGCCTCCAAGTATTTCGAGGTATCCTGTAGCGGATCAGTGCTGACTGGACTTGGAGCTTGGCGCTTTGGGTTTGCCTGGTGGTTGAGTTTATGACATAGTGAATATTTTTATGACATAGTGAATATTTCATAATAGTCTACACTAGTTTAACTGATTCCCCATTTATAGATGTACTTTTCTCTCACTTCAAAAAATGCTCATTTAAAACCGGAGAATTTCCCAGCCGTGTTGGTTTTTACTGGAGGCAAAAATCACCAAAGTGCCGAGCTTCGGACCTCGCAGAAAAAGTCGTGTCACGAATAGAAACAAGCCTGATTCTGGGTAAATTATATCGGCAATATACCATATACCTATACATATAATACCATTATTACCAGTATCATTAGCATAAATATATTATACCATAAATATCATATTATCTGGGTAAATTATAATATTTCACTAACCTGAACTAATATAACTAATGCCATAAAAGGGGATGATTTCCCGAATCCTAACCATGATTTCCAGTGAGGGAGAACAGTGAGGTCGTGATGAAATTTACCCAGCTGATTGGTAACTACCCTTGAAGAATGGCTTTTACAAATATGTCAGTTTCACCATGATTTTTCGCAGAATAATATGTATCGAAGTAACAGGGATCCAACATCCCAGTCTGTCATGATCTGCGAACCTTTTCATGTACGGGAAAAAATACGTGAAATCCACGAAAAATGAGCTAATTTCATCTAATTTCTAGATGTTCTTAATTTTTCCTGGGAATTTGACATTACGAAACTTAGTACCATATATGGAACATCTAGCATTTCTAGATCATCTCCTGGGAAAAAGTCACAGCTTTTAGTACCCGACCTTCGCTGGCAGCCCGGCAGCGACGAAGATGGCGTCAGCTTCTTCCAGGCTCAAATCCTCTGAAGGAATTGCTGCGAACTGCAAATGAAGTGAATGGATGTGAATGGTCCCACAATTCGCAAAGAGAGATTTTGAATGGGCCTTATTTTGAATTGTCTTCTAAATGGGGTTGTAATGTTGAAAGAATGCGCCGCTGTTCTGAATCAATAAGTTGGTCTAGTTTCACTAGGTTAACGATTGGGTTTATGGTGATTGTATATACGTATGCTTCGGTGGGTTTATAAAAGGACTTACAACTAGGTTCTACCACCTGGTATCAAATTAAATACTGAATGGTACTGGAGGAATCTTCCAAAAACACAGGCGGCCCATCTAAGCCCCATGCATAGTCAAAATACGTTGACAAAACCCCCAACTTGATGGTTTTCCATGTCAATCATGACTAATCATGACCCCATTCATCTGCAAAGCCAACAAAGCCACAGTTGCGGCTGATGGCATCAAACTTCCGGTGGTGGTCCAACAAGCTACGAAGAGACGACTAGGCCTTTCTTGTAGCTCCATAAAATGGATACCTGTTTTATGCGGCCACGGCAGCAAAGCAAAGATGGAATTTTATGCCCCCCAAAATTCATAGAGCCTGAAATTCATGACTATCATGACTCTGGAATGTTCAGCTCTGGAAATTCTGGAAATAGTCTTGCCATACCAACATATACCAACTATGCCTAGCAAGGCTGTCCACCGCAACTGCGAGCTTTCTAGGCTTTGTATGGCTTTGTGATCACGCTAAAAGTGTCCATCTTCACGCCATATCTCAAGATCTGAATTCCGAGAGAACCTGGACAAAGGATAGAATTCGGATAGAAAGGTCTGCAAAAGAACCTGCCAAGTGACCCCAAGTGACCAAGTGGTTTTTGGTTCAAAATATCTGGTCATTCATGAAATCATGAAATTCGCTCCAAACATCTCCAAAATATGTACAGTATCGTGAAGTGCAATGGATGTCAGTGTCCCCTCTGTCCAACGTAACGTCCTGCCCCACGAGATTATGCTGCACCAGCCTTGGCTCCAGGATATCCCAAGATTGGTTGGAATCATCCCCAGCTTGGGAACTTATGATAGAACTTGGAAAGATGTGTCTCGAACTTCGATCTTGACAAACTTAGCTGCAACTCCATTACAAGTCCATTGAAACATGCTGCAATGATGTTGCTGAACTGGGCTTTCCTTTGTTTCTTCACATGAACATGGGCCCAAATCGCTATGGTTTAGGATTGGAACTATCTATTTTAAAAATGATTAACATCTGTACTTCCATGTATTTACCCGCAGGTCAGCCTCCAGTAAACGAGCATAGCTATGGAAAATCACCATTCTTAATGGGTAAATCATCTATAAATTGGCAATTTTTCGATAGCAAACTGTTAGTTTACCAGAGGGTACACTGTGACCCATACCCAAATGAAGCTCCAACCAACATCAAACCATGGCCGACATCTGAGGCGAGAACATGTGGGTGTACTGATAGAGCCCCATGCCAAAGGACAGGGGTCGTCCCTTAGGGCTGCAACTCGCTTGGCAGAGCAGAAGCAGTTCTGGTTGCCGCTTTTGACCCCAAAACAATGCCGAAACTCTTGCTTTGGTTTCGTCAAAGAGATAAAGAGGAAGTAGATTTTTGAAGCCACTGAAGCCAGATGTTTTGGAGTCGGGATGATCTTCCCAACTTTTTTTTTCAGAAATTTCCCGAAGATGACCGGTTTTGTCTGTCCACTGGGCGTCCGGCTCTTTGTAAAGCGAACCAATCCACCGAGCACAGCGAACTGAAAAGCACCTGGTTTCCATTTCGTTCGCCATGGAACTCCATGGGACCCGGTTTTGTCTCTGACCCCCCAATTTAAGTTCATCCAAACCATCTTCCTACAAGCACTAGTCACTAATATATATATATATACCATATATATATATATTATAATAATTATATGTATATATATAATTAATTATATATAATTATATATATAATTAATTATATATAGTTATACATATATATATATTTGTGGCTTAGATTACAAATTGTCCCTCCAAAAACTTGCGTAAATAAACTTTTGAATCCAATCAAAATTGATTGGTGAAACCACCATCTTCATTGATGACATCATCTGGTTGCTGGTTTTTATCCAAAAAAATCTTGCCCGGAAAGCCATGGGATTTTCCAGAAACATGGGGTGAAACCCATGGTTTTCCCGGTAAATGATTCCCAAAAAAAACACATGATATAAACCATAGGTTTTCCCATGAAATATAGGGGTTTTATTTCAGGTTTTCCTGCAACAAATCTTCCCTGAAACTCCATTGATATAGTGGTTTCCACAAATGGACCCCAAAAATGGTTGGTTTAT